AATATGACCAACAACCAACAACATTTGCTCCACGACACCGCACTACACTGGTGAAGGGAAAATTTAAAGCTCCAAAGAGAAGAAGTACCAATGTTGTACCAGGGCTGGACAGTACTAGGAGGTGAGCTACTGTACAGCTAATGTTGTAAATATCACACAGGACTCTTTTTTTATACAATTTTGTTTTTCTTTCTTTAAGATGTTTTCTAGGCTCCAACAGTGCTCCAGCCCAATGGCCAGATTGTAACAGGTACACTGAGGCAATTATATCTCAACTGTGTAATCTGCATCCTGGGCCAGAGAAATCAAAGAAAAAAACAACAAACCGTTGGTCTCTAGTGTGTAAAGACTACAGAGGCATACAAGAACGTGTTATGAACAATGGCATGGTGATGAGAGAGACACAGATTCAGCTACCAGATATAAACCAAACAACACTAAGTCAGTGGTATATCAAGCGACAAAAGAAGAAAGAACAAGAAATACTTAAACAGGAACTACCTCAACGAACTGAACCAGCAGCATCAAAGACACCTTTACCAGCAGCCATACCACTGCCTCCATCTCTGCCACAAGTCAACTATCCTGTGCCCTTTAAATTTGTATTACCAACCAATACCACAGGAACAGCTGTTCTCAGAGGTCAAACTTCAAAAGCTTGCCAACCGATGCCAATTCTTCCAGCTCCTGTTCCTCCTATTACTTTCTTACAGCCACCAACAGTAGTCAGAAGATTTCCCCCTGTTCCAATACAATCCAAAATACAAACACAACACCATCAGCCTCAATCTTGGCAACAAAAGTCTCAATCTCAACCATCAGTACACTCAAAGCAAAAAGATGAAACAAGGACTACTCAGGAACAAAAGGCAAGCACCAGTCGTAAGCGATCCTCGTATAACACGGTTTGCTCCAAGTGTGGAAAGAAGAAAGACCCTGAAAATCATAAACAATACTTTGGAAACTGGTATTGTAACACAATGACCGACGAGAGCTTTGAGACATGGAGGGAAAACCTTAAAAACAACAAACGATATAAAAAGAAGAAGACAGATTGACTTATATAATTTTTGTTTATTTATTTTAACTTTTTTTTTTTTTTTTTTTTTTTCCGTTCAAGCTTGCTTGAACAACGCCGAGTGCTGGGCGGCGGTCAATTAGCCTGGCTCCCTCAGTGAGCAACTAGCTCCTGAGGATTGGGCAATGGTTCCCTTGGTGGAGGAAATGCCATCATAAATTCAAATCTTCAAACTTTTAATGCTGCCTAGCGCAATTGCTAGAAGGTCCCAAGCCCTTAATAAAGCAGAGGGAAAGTTTGTTGCATTTTTCAATCTTTTTCTTTTGTTTTTTGTTTTTGTTTTATACTTTTAAACAGCGTCCCAAAAACGAATTTTTACTTAATTATGTATTCCATATTCTTCTCTTTGCAGACTGCCTGTACTTCTGTGAAGGAATCCCCTTCCGCTGCGGGATCCAAAACAGAGAAGAATGGGCGCCTTCTTCGACCAAGGAAGGCGCCCATTCTTCTCTGTAAGCTCTCTGTGGAAAAAAGGGGATTCCTTTAGAGAGGCACATGCCGCCCGCAAGGCAAGAAGGAATAGTTAGTTCCTCAAACTCTTCTTCTAAGGAATGAATTCAAGAGGAAGTGTTACTTTCATCAGTCACAAAAGACTGGTTACATGTTCACCCATTTGACTGCCTTTACGGCTGTCATAGTGATTGTTTGGCGAATGATGAAGCACTTTACTCTGGAGCTGTTTTTGAGTAAATTTTTTGTCTCTGTGAAGGAATTTTGAGACTTGTGTCAGGGAAATGTGGCAAAACGACACGAATCGCGCTGAGTAAAGCTCTCGAATGCCTCGCTTGTCACCCACGCGTTCATCAGGCTGTTAGCGCGCACCACACATTCAAGGGCGATCGTGGACACTTAGGAGAGCGATGCTTTATGCACCTCTCTACTTCTATGTTCATTACAGACAATTGATGCAAAAAATTTGTATTTTTCAAACAGTGAACTTTGAAGTATAGAAACACTTAGCGCAACCCTCTCGCAAGAGTGCATGATCACGCTTGAACACGTGGCGCGTGGTAGGAGCCTAATGCACGCGTAGATCACAAACAAGGCATTTGAGAACGTTTCTCAGCGTGACTCCTGACTTTTTTGATCGGCTCTTTAAATATTTTTTTAAACATTAAAGTAACAAATCTGAATTGTTTAAGTTTACCTCTTCGGGAGAATGAGAAATCAAGTTGCGGAGCATTCACTTTTCCTGCTGCTCAGAATTCTTCTTGAACACCTCATCCACTTCTCTTGTGTAGCCAAGCGTCGGATCTCTCTTGGTAAGAAGTCTAAACTTCGGCATTCTCGCGATCAATGGCGAAAAGATATAAACAAAAAGAAAAACCTCGAAGGCAAAACGATCGAGCATGTACACCTCTCCAAGAACAATTTTTGGAAGCTTACTGCTCTAAACAGTCTTATAAAACATCTTAGAAACGCGATTTCTCTGTTGATCTCACACTCCCCCGAATGACTTTTTAAATCGCGTCCTCAAAAGTTAGAGAACGAACCGCTGTAGATCTGTTGTTGTTACGTGTAGTTCACAAACTGGCCAATCACATCCGCTCGTTTGGTTTATTGAAATCGAGTGGATGTGATTGGTCGAAGATTCCTAATGTACAGGACGTGATTGGCTGCCACTTAGCATGTTCCTCTGTCTTTGACCAGAGGAACACTGGCACTGAACTATCACTGTAAGAACAGTGGCGTTAGTAGACACAGAAATTTATAATCTCCTGCAAGTATGAATGTGTTTGGGAGAAGGTATGGAGTTAATTGACTCTCTTCTTGCCAGGATACATATGATTTGTCTGTTTGAAAACATTCTGTACATGATTTGTCTATTTGAAAGCATCTTGTGAGCTGTAGTGGCAGCCGTGATCGTATAGTGGTTAGTACATTGCGTTGTGGCCGCAATAACCCAGGTTCGAATCCTGGTCACGGCACTTTTTTTTCTTACTATTAACTAATGTCTATTTTTACTCTTCGTAAATTTTTCTTTTTCAATAGTCCTCTTTGACGAGTCCGCTCCGCATTAACGACACAAGACATCCTTGAGGATAAAATGCAAACCGGAACTCGTTCCAATGTTTTCCGTTCTACTCTCCCTCCTGGTTTGTCCGAGGAATACGTTTGGAAGAAAAACTCTTGAGCCCCGTCCGAGGAATAGTGCATCCACGACACCAGAACGAGTGCTCGCAACATGAGCTTTCTAACAGCAATGTAGCGCGCTCGCCCTTGGGAGGACATGGAGCGTGCGTGTGAACTGTTCTGCCATAGCATGGGCACGCTTGCACCTAACTTGCCACGTACCTCTCCAGTTTGGTGAATTTGTCTTAAGATTATTTTCATGACTTCTTAGCTTTTGATAACGAGGACGGGCATAGAATAATTGCGAAAGAGAACAGAATCGTGAATAATATCAGCTATAAAGAAGTAGAATGGGCTGAGTACTCCACTCTCTAGTTACCTGAAGTCAACCCTTACCGTTCATTCAAATTTTTAGTTATCTTCATTCACTTTTTCAAACATTTTCCACTGCTGTTCACAGGATGCTGTTAAATAGACATTGTCAGATCACTCACTTGACAAGCAGTTGTGATCTTTAACAGTCACTGTATTTCATATCATTTCGAAACAAAATATTAGCATTCTTCCAAAGCACCAAAGAACGAAGAATCAATTAAAAAAAAAATTAAAAATAACATAGAGCATTTACTGGGGTAGAAATAAAATGAGAGGAAGAAAAATGAGATGGAGAAAAAAGAAACCGTTTTATGAGTGCCGTGACCAGGATTCGAACCTGGGTTATTGCGGCCACAACGCAATGTACTAACCACTATACGATCACGGCTGTCATTCCAGCTTACGTAAAATAAACTGTGGAATTTAAGAATGGTTTTAGAGTTAAAAACAAAAAACAAAACAAAACAAACAAACAAAAAAAAGCCAAACAATAACAACAACGAAGGCAGCAAAGAACAACAACAAGAGAAACAAACAAAAAAACAAAACAAGATAAATTAATAATGGATGATAAAGGGACAGATGAAAGCGTGAGTGACAATTTAAGAGTGCGTTCCTTTGGGAGAATCCGGATCAGGATTTCTGATCTGTGACGTTCTTTTCGAGCAAATCCATTTTCAGATCAGTGATCGATCAAATCCACTCTGGACTAGGATTCATCGGATCACTTATCTGCGTGATCTGAAGACGGATCATTAGATCACTGATCCGACGCGTTCCTTTGGGCGAAGGATCCGAAATTAATCATTTTGCCCAGCGGTGCTTAATTTCAAACAAGTAGGTGCGTCATATATTGACCGGAAAGATTGTTGGCACTAATATTCTGCGATAAACACGAAATAAAATCGATTTTGTGATATTAAGTCAATCGGCCACTGTCCGCAGGCATTCAGGGTTCCAAGTATCCATAACATAATCAATACTTGCTTCTGTTTTAATTCCATCGTTTGAGTTTACCATGAAAAAATGTGTTTTCTAATGAATAGTGCGCGCTAAAAGCCCATGCAGTTAGACGAGCCATTCAAGGAAGAGCTCAGTAACCCACGTGCATACAAAACTCTTAATATGGCACACTTTTTGGAATTTTCTGAGAGCTCGTCTAAAACTCTGTTTCTTACATGTACCGTGATCTGTGTGATCTTAGATCACAAATCCAAATCTGGATCCTCCCAAAGGAACGCACACTAAGTTTGAGTATGGCGGGATTTGTTGTTACATCTGATTGGAATACCGTTAGGTCGAGATAGCGGCGCGCGTTTTTCAGAGCAATCCCAGAGTGAAGTAAAGCAAAACAAGTGTAGTTTCAAATATTTTCAACAGTTAGATAAATAGAGATCGCTCTAATCCTAAAGAAATCATTTTTTTATCATCAGACAGAAGAACGTTATTTCTAAAATTATCAATGGCAACAGAGTTCAGTGTAGTTTCATTTTATTCAAAAGTACATACTAACCCTTTAACTCCCAAGATCTGATTGTTACGCGCAGTAGGCACAGCCTGCGCGTGGCTTACCTTGGCGAGGGAGAGCGACAAAAAAATTTGGCCCTTACTCGCTAGAAAGTATACCTACTTTACGTGCTGGCTGTATTACAGTAATAAATTTTCCGCCAGTTCAAAACTTTAATCCTTGAGGTTTTCATTTCACACAAACAAATTACAATCATATATTTCCTAGTAATAATTTTTTTTCTCAAAATTCAATAATGATAATAATAATAACGATGATGATGATGATGATCTTGATAATAATAATATTAATATCATCATGGTATAACATGAAAGATATATGCCTTTCTGACAAGTTTATGATAGATAATAAGAAAAATACTCACTTTGTAAAAATTCTGATTAAATTATGAATACTAACTAGTCCATTAACAAGGGTAAATAAGTTAAAACATTTAAAATGTTTGTGCTTTGATTGACTTAGACCTGGAGTGCTCTCACGGTGTGACAGAACCACGACTGGAACCCAGACCTCTCTATCCAGAGTCCAGGGCCTAGTTGTTCAAAGCTGGGTTAAGATAACCCAGGGTTATTGTGAAATCTGATTTCAGATTTGAAAACTTTAAAAGAAAATTCAATAACAATCCTTTGACTACAATTTTATGATTGGATTTCCTAAAACGAATCGAGGAAATTATACAGAAATCCAGATTAAAATTTAACCCTGGGTTAGTGCCAAACAGACTTTGAACAACCAGGCCCTGGCCAGTGCATCAACCCTATACCCATAAGAGTGACTAGCTTCTAGTTTCTTTATATAATATCACCCCTGAATTAAAAAGTAAGGTCACAAGAATAAAGTAAATGATCACCAACTAAAGAAGCTTTGATTGTTAAACAAATTCTCCTTGTCAGCACCTAAGGAAATGTATAGAGAACAGTATGGAGAATATGCATACTGATGTTTGGGTGTAAAGGGATAACTGTAAGGACTCTGCATCCTTCAAAAAATAATCATTCACTATCTTAAATTCACACATGCACATAACATTGCTTGAGGACAGAAAAATAATATTCTTCAAAATATTAACCAATTATTTCATAATTAACAGTATCATTAAAGGATGATGGCTCACAACTCATGTGTTTTACTCTTGTCAAATGCATGCATGATTCCTCTGTCTGCATATTCGTAAGAACCCTTGGGCGAGATAAATTTAATTCCATAATTTTTAACATATACTTTGAGTAGATATATGTAATGTACATTCAATATCAATGTGTTCAAGTGACAATACAATTACCATAATTATTTTCTTCCACAGATATGTACACCTATATTTTATATGAATATAACGATCACTAAATGTGTGGACTATTTTGAATCGTCATTTAACAGTTACATAAAAAACATTTACACACCTCAGTATCTTTTTGCATAAATGATTCATCAACTATCCTTGTGATAGTATTTACCTTGTTATAATAGCAAACTAATGTAAATTAAAACACTGGTGGATATGGTAAGTCACCCACAAATTTTGTAACAAATAAGGGTGTGGCTCTTCTGCAAGAACATCTTGAAAATGTGCTGCAAATTTTCATAAATTTACTCTTTTTATGAAATTTTATGAAAAACACAATTTATGAAAATTCCTGAGTCTTTCAAGCAAACTAACACATTAATCTTTTACACTCTTAGAGTGACATGCATCTCATTTCTCTTAATAGTATCGCCGCCAAATTAAACATTAAGGTCATGTCAGCACCTTAAGAAATGTAAAGAAAATAGTTTGGAGAAAATTAGCATGTTAAGGGTTAATCATTTTCATTAGGCTTATCAGTCAGTGTAGCTCATCTACCATTGTGGGCTACTGCCAGTGCTGCTTATCTGCCAGTGCACCTCTGTCTATTGGTGTTTACAGTTAGTTAGAGCTCTTTTCAATTTAGTGACACTGAATTAAAACCAAAAGTTATCAGAGCAGCTGGTTAAGGGATTTGAAATATCACAATGAACAAATTCAAACTCAAAGTAAAAACAAGCCCCTTGCTTGAGGCCTGGAAAAGCACTAGTGAAATCAATGAGTCTGGATTTGTTTTGGTTCTGCATCTGATTGGATGAGAAGGTGGCATAAGTTTTTTAAGACCAATCACAGAGCAATGTAGAGCCAAACTACTGCAAACACTGATTATTCAAATGAAAATTGCTCTACTTTTTAGGTAGTATAACCCATAAAAACCTAGCTCATCTGCCATGCCACATACTTCTTGTACATCTGAAAATGGATGTAGTTTCTGTGGGAAAGATTATAGAACACTAAGTTTAAAGACACTAAGACTGAAACGTGTACCAAACATCTAAAAGTCCATGGTTCTATTCCCAATAGATTCAATTTTGATTTTAATACTGACTTACTGGTTGGACCATTAACTGCTGACTGACTGATTCACAGACTTATTGAATGAGTGACTGACTGAAAGAATAAGTCCGTAAAGGGGGTGAGTTTCTAAAGAAACTGTGGTGCTGTGTTTGTAGGGGAGTATAACAAGGTAATTTGGTTTTATTAACTGAATTCATTAGGTAATATTAATTGGCAACTGTAAAGAGTTTCAAAGCTGACGTTTTCGAGCAGAAAAGGGCTAATGCTCAAAACATCAGCTTTGAAACTCTTAACCATGACCAATTTACATTTATCAACTCAGTTGATGAAACCAAATTATCCTGAAAGAATAAGTGACCGACTCACTGAATAACTCCGTGATATATTGACTGACCAATTGACTCACTGACAAACAACTACCTGATTCTGACCAACTGACTGATAACTAACTAATGATTGATGGAATGACTGCCTGAATTATTGAAAAAAAGATTTACTGACAGACTGCATGACTAACCTTAGCATGTAGAGCAAATGGGGGATTACAAGCCACACTAGAAAATGAAATATACCCCTCACAAAAAATTTTACCTGTTTGGTTGTCACCCGCCAATGAGAATCATTGGGCGATTCTTTTGTTTAGCGATGTTGAACATTCCTGTGAGAGGAGACAGTGATAAACAGTTAGTTTCAATAGTGTAAATGGTGGGACTGTTAGACTGAGTAAAACATGGTTATGCTGCTAACAGGATACAAAAGTACTGTTCATCGCATGGCAAACAAAGTACTGTTCTGAAATTAAAACAACAGTCACTTTGTTGTCTGCTTAACCCTTTAACTCCCAGAACTAACATGTAACATGTGTTATGTTCAATAAAGCTGTTAAAAAAAAAAAAAAGAACTGATTAACATGTAACGTCTTCCTATGATATTCATATGTTTTCTAGCAAAAGGTTCACAATAATACTCAAACTTATCAAAAAGGAGTTTTATCTTGATCTTACACCAAATTCTCATAACTAATTTACAAGGAATTGTGTAGCAGCAAGAGGAGAGAATTAACAATCAGATCTTGGGAGTTAAAAGGTAAAATCAAGTCTTGTTCTTGAACAAGACAAACCACTAATCTTACAGTGCTCTTATTCCCTCTAAATGAGTATAAATGGGTATTGTCAAATTGTCATGGAAATCTTACATCCTTTCGGTGGGGAAGAATAGTTATGTTGTCTACTCTTTAAAAACTTAACCCTTTACATCCTCATGCATATTCTCCATACTGTTCTCTGAACATTTTCTAGGGTGCCGACAAGGAGAATTTGTCTAACAATCAAGAGCTTCTTTAATTGGTGATCAGTTCTTTATTCTCCTGACCTTAATGTTTGATTCAGGGGTGATATGGTAAGGAGAAATTAGATGCCAGTCACTCTTATGGGTTAATGCTATGGAAATCAGACTGGAGATAATCTCTCATTTTGTAGTCCACTTGGCTCACAGGACTGATCTGTTGCAGTCTGCAACTCACAGTTTAAATGCATCATTTGACAATGTTGGTAATATTCATGACTCCTTCTTGAATACACACCTGCATGTTGTTTCTTCTTCCTCCCTACTGCAGCACCGATGATCTCTAAAAGCTCCTCTTCACCGGTTCCTGCTCGAAGAGAATCTCGCAAAGATACTTCAGAGTTACCAAACAAACAAACCTTGAGAATATGAATGAAAAACAAATAATAAAAATAATGTACATAAGATGCCCAGAGGCATTAATGTGGAATGCTTAAATCGTTATCTACAGTCATCTACATGGAATACAATAAATTTAATGTTGAATCTTCAAAGTACAGGAATGAAATTGAAAAAAACAATGTACCTTTAAATTCCCATCTGCTGTGATTCTCAGCCTGTTACAGCTTCCGCAAAAATGCTCACTCATAGAGGTGATAAACCCAAACTGACCAGCGAAACCAGGAACCTTGTATGCCTGAACAAAACATACATAAAGAAGGATCATTTTAACAGCAGGTTACATTGAAAAGTAATGTAGGATTGCACAACATGATAGTACATAGATTTCAAAATTTATTGAAGGCTTTGACTGACTAACTAACAGTTGATTGGCTGCAGACTAAATGCACCTAATTGGTAAAAAACTATCGGTTTGAAAGACTGACAGACAGATTTATTGACTGATTACAAACTAAACAAAGGGCTCACTAGCTAAGAACCAGCTCTTTTGCAGATTGACAGTCTGATTGATTGTTTGACTGCCTGCCTTAAGCACTGAATGATCAGAATACTTTACTTGGTTTTATCTATTGAGTTGATAAATTAAATCGGTCTCCATAAAGAGTTTCCAAAGCTGATATTTCAAGCGTTAGCCCTTTGTCAGATACTCAAGCTTTAACTGTCTGACAGACTGACAGTCATCAACTGGCTGATTGACTGTTTCACCACCTGACTGGGTGACTGAGGAACTAAACTATTAAATGAACTGACTGACTAACTAACTAACTAAAAGCAATTTGCCAGTCACTATGCCATACTTTTCATACCTTTGAGGTATCATTAGGATGGTCTGACACCTTCTCAACATTTGGCCATCTCTGAGATATGCTCTCCAACATCTCACTGAATGGAACAAACTTCTTGAAGTTCCACTTGTTACCTGAGAAAAAGCAGCCACAATAATTAAAATCTGTATCAAATTAATACTTAACAAGTGTCTCATTTTTAATTTTAACTGTATTAACCCTTAAACTCCAATAAGTGAGCAGGTAAAAATTTCTCCTTACAATATCAATACAATATCAAGTAGACAAGTTACGAGAGTAACAAAAATATCAATTAGGGGATTATTAGTTTATCCAATACAAAATTCTCATATCTAGCATCCTAAGAATTGTATCGCAGACAGTAAGGAGAATTGCTCATGAGATCTTGGGAGTGAAAGGGTTTATATTAATAATAAATACATCATCATTGAACTTACCATCAAATGGCATGTATTCTATGAACCTCACATCTATAACCTGGTATGATAAAAAAATATTACATATGAGTTAACAATGAAATACTGATCTTAAAACTAATTTATATTTTCAAAAATTTTTAATAATTTGATTCATTTAAAACATTAAATTATTCCACACAATTTACCTTGAATGCTTTTACAACCAACTAGATACCCTTGAAATAAATAATAATCCCTACCCACTACTATACATTAAATAACAAATATTTTGAGTTCTACCTTATTCTGTGTCATTTCCACAAAGTTACAGACTTCATCTTCATTCAATCCTCTCATTACCACACAATTCACCTGGTAGAAATATCACATAAGGTAATTAACACAAAAATTTACATTAAATATCTTACAGCTATATTAATCTAACAAAGTGTCACTATTATGTTAGGTATGCTTTATTTCTTGATTTATCTTGAGCTGGTCATACACAGCTAATCACCTTTCATAAACAACAGAATAATTAAACTTGAAAATACTGACAGAGAAATTGATAACTTAACTGCTCACTCCCAGGATCTCATTTATTTAATATTAAGTTTCCTTACTGTTGGCCACATAATTCTCATGATGTTAGTTCAGAAAATTTGGTATTGGGTCAACTAATAATCCCCTAATTGATATTTTCTGTATTCTCATCACTTGTCAGTTTGATGTTTTATTGATGATGTAAGGAGAAATTCTGTCTTGGTCCCTTAATGGGGTTAAAAGGTTGTAGTCTGATCATTTGCAGTGAGTGAAAGACAAGGCTCCAGGCTGTAGCCAATTTTATTTATTCCATTGAGTGTTAAAATGCTGTTTCCTCAAAATTATTCGGTCACTTTTGTACAATGTTTAAGATCTTAATCCTACCTTAACTGGGTCATAGCCAAGCTCTAAAGCAGAGTCAACGGATTCCATAACCTTGTGCCAGCCTAAGAAACATTTGAAGGAAATTTTTGAATTTAGTTGACTGATTCATCACTTTTACACCAGCCTCTGCACTAGAATTAGAAAAACTGAACATCAATTATCAAAACCAATCAATGGATGGTCCTTTGAAAAAAATATACATTGTACTGTTGAGCTATTGAAAATTAGGAGTTCTCAAAAAATTCTTGACAAAATTGTCTTTGAATGAATTATAAGCTACAAAAAACGGAATATGGTACTGTACTCTCCTATTAATGAATTGTAATTCATTGCTCTGGCTTTGTCATAATTGCTCAGTGGTGAGAGGAATTGATTGTTCTGTCTAACCACACAAAATTATATTTATCATGAATAGTTGACTATTATTCAACCCTTTACACCTTAATATCAGTATGCATATTCTCCATACTGTTCTCTATACTTTTCCTAAGAACTGACAAGGAGAATTTGTTTAATAATCAAGAGCTGCTTTACTTTGTGATCATTTCCCTTATTCTCATGACCTCAATGTTTGATTCAAGGGTGATATTGTAAGGAGAGAATAAATGCTAGTCACTCCTAAGGGTTAACAGACTGTTGATTAGTATCATACCTTTTCTTCTCGTAATAAACTCAAATTTCTGTGGCACTAAGGTATCAAGGCTGATGTTTAGTAAGTTAAGTCCAGCTTTTTTTAGTTGTGGTAGCTTTCTTGCAAGTGTAATGCCATTTGTTGTCATTGCTAAAGTTTCAAGGCCCTCTATTCTTCCAAGTTCCTCTGTTCAATCATAAATAGATTCAAAATTATATTAATTTTATATTAAACAACTAATTATTTAGTGACTATTTACTTTTTGCAAAGCCATGCTGAAGATTTGAGATAACCCAAAGACTTCTTAGAAGCAAAATATTCCAGTAGAGTAGCAGGAGGGTATAAACGTGTGGCCTCCACATTTCAAATCCAGCTTCCTTATGAACCTCTGGACTGCTCAAATCAAACTCAATAAACTTAAATTAACCCTTTCACTCCCAAGATCTGATTAGTAATTCTCCTTACTATCTGCCATACAATTCTTATGATTTTAGTTCAGAGAATTTGGTATTGGATCAACTAATAATAATCCCATAATTGATATTCTTCTCTATTCTCATCCCCTGCCTGTTTGATATTGTATTGATATTGTAAGGAGAAATTCTGTCTTGGTCACTTGTGGGAGTGAAAGGGTTAAATTAAATTAAAAACTATAAACTTCAACAAATGTCTTGTGAGTATTTAAAATGTTTTTGAATTTTTTGCATTCAGCTCTAATAAAAAAATATTAATATCATTACTAACAATGACCCTATCAGTTCAATAGCCCTAAGCTTACTATTGTTAAGACATAAACAAATAAAAAATCTGGTCTTATACCAAGGTGTTTATCTGCACAACCTGTTCAAATACAACTTATGCAGTTTATAAAAGTCTTTTCCTATACCAATCTTACCACAAAGTTCAACAATATCCTTGCGCACCAAAGGTTCACCACCAGTAAGTCTGATTTTGTTGACTCCTTCCCTGACAAATAATTTTGCCAAAGATACAACTTCTTCTGTTGTTAAAAGTTCTGAGTTTGGAGACAGTTCCACACCTTCCTCTGGCATACAGTATTGACCTAAAAGTCAAGATAGTTATATATAAGTGGAAAGTTGTACTCAACAATTGAAAGACTTTCTTAACAGTTCATGGAACAGGTTACAATTCAAGTACTGAAGTTTTATATAAAATCATAATAAAGAATGGAAAATGTTGTTGAAGACTGGGCCTGAATGTAGTTGAGTTTTGATTAACACTGCATGCAAGTGCAGTCATGCATGTTGTTTTTAAGGGAGTGTTTATTCTTAGAAAAGGTGTAGGAGGATAAAAAAGGGTTGTGTTTATAGAAAGAAAACCTGTGATTGCAACCTCAGGATACTAAACTTCTATTACCACAGAGGCATTCTCAAAAATATATAAATAAATGCACATTTGGTACTTACATCTTAGATTGCATTTTTCTGTTAGTGAAATTCTAAGATATGTGTGATGTCTTCCAAACTTGTCAGTTAAAAAGTCTGAAAGAGGTCTAATTTCTTGCTCTTTGAAATATTTTCTTTGTCTTGAGGAAATGATCTGTTGATTGATAATTTAACAATAACTGGTATCAACAAAATTGAACACGTATTAGTACTTTCAGGAAACTACTCAGACAAAGATCCCATCCATAATAGTAGGGAGTCCTTTGCCCTGACTAAATTCCTTCTTTTCCTGTGGTATACTGTAGTTTAGAATGTAGAATGATTTCAAGTTAAAATGATTTGACACTTAGTTTCATCTGTATTTCTCTGTTTTTGAGAATAATCATAATTTTATCTCCCACAAAGGACAAATTTGAGCAAATCAAGCACCTTAAAAATCATTTTGCCTGGAAATTAATTCACATTACTGACAACAAATGTACCTAATAAACTTGACTATATAACTTATACTTTGTAGCTAACAGCAAGTATAGTTTACCAGATTGAACATCATGAACTAGTACATTCTTAATAGCACATCAATGTAACAAGAAAATTGTTTAACGTAATTGATGAGACAATTGATTGGCACATCAGAGGGAGGGGGGTTTTAATCCTTCTAGGTAACATACTGTACATTTTTGTTCATATTTCCCAGATTCATATACAGTCATATTGAGTATCTAACTCAAACAAAAGACTGTTAACATGGAATCAACTTGTCTGCTTGATTCATCATGCCATACTTGGTACATCTGCAAAGCTTAGTTTAGTAAGAGGTGTGATGCAAGAGGTATAATGCAAACTCAAAACAATCCAGAATGGATCTCAAACTAACTGAAGTTTACATAGAAAATTGGCCAGTTTCAGGACCATATCATCAACAGTTTGCAACAGATTCCACTCGATGTTTGCAGATTTATTTGACTGATGTAAGGAGATATTTTTTAAAAAAGAAAAACTGTTGTTGGCACTTGCAATTGCGTGACACCCAGACAGAAAAAGGTTATGTCTTTTCCTTGCCACAACCTCTTGTCCGGTTTTGTTCTTTGAGAGAATCGTTCTCCAGGTGGACAGTTAAGTCTAAAACATAATCTCTCAATGGAACTCTTGCTAGTGGAGATGTGAATCAGTTGTCATTCATTAAATAAACAGAGACCTATCACTGTACTATCCACGCCGATGCTGAGAATTTAAAATTTTCGACTCACATCAATTCCCCAAGGTTGGATTCAACACAGTATTCTGAAATTGTTACAGAAAAATCTCTCTCCCTCAGATTCCTGCAATATTCTCAATTAAATGGGCCGGAAAATCAGTAATAAGAATATGTGAATTTAACAAGCGCCAGGGTTACACAATCCTTATGCAGATCAAATTTCCGAGCAGCGCAAAATAAATATATGAGAAATTGAGCTGAACATACGTCCTGAACATTGTCATCTTTCATGGGCTTTGTATGCTGTCGTCTTAGAAAAGCGCTTGCAATTCTACAGAATCTGACCCTCGTGTTGCCGGCGCTGGAAGGACAAAAACAGCGAATGGAACACTTGATCACATTTGCACCCGCCATATTGAGAATCGTTCAATAATTATCTTGGCCTTTAAGGGACTGGGTACTAAAACGTTTTCAATATGTCGGACGAGTTGTAGTCTGAGCCGCGTTTAAAGTAAAAGGCATATATTTTGTGTTTTTTTTAGCTCAGTTTCAAGTTCAATAAGGATTATGGCATCATCAGAGCAGAGTGTAACCAAGACTAGGGTTCCGAAAGTCGCAAAGGTTTGTATATCTTACGATTTTAACGAGAAATTGAAACAATTAGTTTGAATAGTGACAGGAAAACATGCACACGAGTATTTAGGATTCGATAAGCTACTGTAGCGCAATCTTCCCATATCCGAGTCATTTCTTTTTAGTTTCATCGTTCATTCGTGCACTGAGAAGAGTAAGTATTTCCTACTTTTTTGACAAAGTTTGAATACCGCGGTATTCGACTTTGAGTATAAACTTCGTGATCCACGACTTTAAGTAAAAAAAACTCTTCAACAATTCGTTCAGGTGACTGGGATGATCTGTAATTTCAATAATGATCAAATTGAGGTTATCGAAGAGAGGAAAATTGCGAGTTAATGCAAGTTTTCTAGCCTTATTTGCATGATCTGGATCGTTACTCTCCTTTCTAGCTACCATAAATTTCATTGTAAATTGTTTGGGAGAATTTACATGCTTGCGATATCAAGAAAGCAAACATGAAGTAACAAGGTTGTTAGAGTAGGGAAGTAGATTAAGTCTGAAGCATATGCATCAAGGTCCATTGGGCTCACTTTCACTGAATTCATAAGTTCTTTTGGAATGAGATTGAAGCATGTGACTCACCAGGAAAATTTATTTAATACTTGTCACAGCCATGAGCTTATAATCAGCTTCTAAAATTATTTTCCAGAAGTTGATGAGGGTGTGTGCTTCAGAGAATTTCATTGGGTATTGCAGCCAAACTTAATCCTAAGCTCAAGCAGTTAAATCTTCCTTTTTTTGCTTGATATGATTGTCAAATTGTTACAACCAGTACAACACATCACCAAGTTTTCCAGCTTCAATTCTTGTCTCCAGTGTAAGGCACCTGAAGTTGGTGTTATCCATTAAAGATAAATTTTGTTTAACTTTATATTTTCAGGTGAAGAATAAAGCTCCAGCACCAGTTCAGATCACAGCTGAACAACTCTTGAGGGAAGCAAAGGAGAGACAGTTAGAATTAGTTCCACCAGTAAGTTAATTCCCAGATCAAATTTGTAATTCTTCTTACTGTCAGCCATACAATTCTTATAATGTTAGTTCAGAGAATTCGGTATTGGATCAACTAATTATCCCCAAATTCTTTATTCTCATCACTTATCTAATTAATATTGTATTGATATTGTAAGGAGAAATTCTGTCTTGGTCACTCATGGGAGTTAAAGGGTTAAATACTGCTCTGTCTTTATTGTTCCATTCTTTGGAATTAATTTTCAAATTTTTTGGAAAAGCTGTTGTTGCCCAAACATCAAGATATCAAGATATAATCAAGATTTAGATTCTCAAAGTGAGGAGAGAAATTACTCCAGAACATTATTTTCAGAACCATGTTTTCTTTCAAACTCCTTTTAATTATATGATACTACATTCCATTCTCAACCAAAAATTAATTGTTAAGAGAATTGATTTAACTGTTAACTGATCCACTGAGGAATTTCAAATACTCGATCCCAAATAAGCAATTAATTTTTATTGGTTTGCTCTGACTTGTTAGTCAACAGCTTCCACTTTTAAAAGATAAAATCCACCTTTTAAAGAGAAGTACATGTACCTTCTGATGAAATATTTCAATTTAACTTAAATTCTTTGTACTTTCTGCATAATTCCTTCTTTCCAAAGATTGAAATACTCTGGAAAGAAAAATAGTGCTGTGATACAAAACCTGAAATCAATTCATTTTTACCTACCCCACCATACCAACATTTTTTAGGTTCTCCATGATGAGAACGAGATTTATTTAGTATTTATTCTATCGGCTACAGTGTCTGCTGATTTCAGATGATTGTTGAAATAATTCATCTTACTTATTTCTTTTCAGCCTCCCAAACAGAAGATCAGTGATCCTGATGAATTACAGGAATACAAGCTTCGTAAAAGAAAGGTTTGATTTATAATGATTGTAGATATATGAAAATCATATATCTGCAGTGGGGTGAAGAAATGAATATGAAAGGTTCTCCCAGCTATAAACACTACTGAACTGGTAGTTGAGATAAGACCTGAAAAAAATTCAGGCCCATATGGGATTTAAACCCATGACCTCTGCAATACTGGTGCAGCGCTCTACCAACTGAGCTAACCAGCTAACTGAGAGCTGTTCATTAAGTTGCATCCAAATAAACCATCCAAGTGATGAATAATGATTGTAGATATATGAAAATCATATATGTGCACTGCGGTGAAGAAACAAATATAAGAGATCCTCACAGCTATAAACACAACTGAACTGAGTAGTTGAAATAAGACCTGAAAAAGGTCTGATTTATTTGATTCATTAGGAGTTGGATTAATTAAACTGATTTTAAATCAAACTATTGTTAGTAATAATTCAGAATTACATGAATTTATGACTATGATTCTGTATTCCATCTTGTCAGGCATTTGAGGACAGCCTTCGTAAAAACAGATCAGTGATAAGTAACTGGTTAAAATATGCTCAGTGGGAGGAGAGTCAAAGAGAAATTCAAAGGTAGAGGATGAATTTGTTATTTCCAAATTCTCCTTACTCTTTCCCATATATTTCCTTTAATACAGATAAGGAGAATTTGTTTAACAATCAAAACTACTTAGGTTTGTGATCATTTCCTTTTTTCTCATCGTCTAAATGAATGATTCAGCAGTATTGCTGTAAGGAGAAATTAGATGCTGGTCAATCTTAGGGTTTTAAGGGTTATTGAAAATAGAGAGGTATAAGTATCAGTTTGGGCTTTAAATACAAGCCAGGGTAATCAGGCAAGTGTTTAGATTCAGAAAATTTAGGTGCATTAGTTGAATAGTTTATTCCATTTTTTGTCTGAACACTCCATACCCTTAGAAAACAATTTTGTATCATCACTGGATGTGTAAGTGTCATATGTTTGTTTTGGCTGAATTGAGAGGGAAAAATAAATAGAAGTAAGGTGAACTTTAACCCTTTACGCTCTAGAATCAATATCCACATTCTCTGTACTTTTCTCTATAAATTCCCTTCAGTGCTGACAAGGAGAATTTGTCAAACAATCATTGAAGAGCTGCTTCACTTGGTGATCATTTTCTTTATTCTCATGATCTCAATGTTTGACTCTATGGGTGATATTATAAGGAGAAATTAGATGCTAGTCACTCTTAGGGGTTAAACAGTTAAAAAGTACTAAACATTTCTGATCTATTCTTCTGTTCTGCAGTTATTGTTTAATTGAAATTTATGATTTCCTACTGGGGTTAGTATTAAGATTGCATTGATTTCTCTCTTTCAGAGCACGGTCTGTTTATGAGAGAGCTTTAGATGTAGACCACAGAAATATCACTATATGGCTGAAATATGCAGAGATGGAAATGAAGTGAGTCTGTTCCTGGTTTGACAAGTGTAAATTGTATCTTAATGAAACTATTTGTAAATAGTCCATTTTACAGTTGTGTGCTTAGTTGCCAAGCCTTTGAATAGGAGTGAGGCTAGGGGTGACCTTGTTATGATACAAACCTTGCTGCTTTTCTAATGTAAATTACTTTGTTATCATGCTAACTAAATACTGGTTTCTATCAAAACATGGTTACCTTCACCCTCACTCCAAATCAAAGGCTTGGCAACTAAGCACACAACTGTAAAATGGCCCATTAAAACCTATATACAGGTGAAGGCTCAAACAGCAATTTATTTTGGGCAATTATGAAAGACCTACGTACTCCCTCTGTGACAAGCTGTATGGAAAGTGAGTCAGAATAACACTGTGAAAGCAACTGAGAAAGTGTTCTTGTTCCAATGAAAAGCAGTGCACAAAGCAGAGGAACATGACAAGTTGCTTGATAAGATATTGATTCTGGGTTGTGGGGTCTGGGTTCGAACCTTGATCAGGTCAAGTGACAGTGCCAATCCAATCCAATCCTTTATTTAAACACGTGACACCTAGGAGAACAGAAGTTCTCGTTAAAACGTGTACGTGTATGTACAATTAGAAATCCCACCCAACCCAACCCAGGGGAGGACATCCATCACACAGTAATCTCGTGCGTGGGAAATTAACGTGGGAAATTAACGTGGGAAATTAACGTCTTATCCGAGAAGACGAAGCAAGGTGAGTGAAGCGACTTGCTTAAGGCCACAACGTAGTGCCCCATCCAGGACTCGAACCCGGGCCGTCCGACCCAGAGTCCAGCGCTCTGACCACTGGGCCACTCACGCCCCGTGAGTGCCTCCCTCCACCCAGGAGGGTAAATGGCAAGAGGAGAACTGTAGAAGAAACTTTACAAGGTATTAGGAGAGGGAAGAGAAGGGAAGGAGAGGATGGGTAATTTGTAAGGGATTATCATCTGTTCTGGAGTCCAGGCAGCAATGCTACAAGTTACTTTGTGTTGACAAAATCCATACAGAGATACATGCATGCTGCAGCAGCTTTTTGGCCTAGTCTTCTATGCAGACTTAATTCATCTCATTTTCAAATCTGAGATTAAAATTTTACCTCCACAGGCATCGCCAGATTAACCATGCTCGAAACATCTGGGACAGAGCTGTCACCATCTTGCCAAGAGTAAACCAGTTTTGGTTAGTACATAGTGCTTCTTAGTGATCTGTATATAGTTGAGGGTATTCTGACTTGTAAAGTGCAAGTTGATCTGCATCAGTAAAAACAAGAAGTAATCAAAAGTGCTTGTGGCAAAGATAAACTGTCAGCAGAAAATCGATCTTACTAGATATGTTCATTTTGTGTCTTTGAAGCAAACATTTGATAGTCATTTTTTTGTTGTGGCTTCTAAACCCATTCTCAGAATATGATCTTATGTTTAAGCTCTCACCTCAAGCTGTCATATATTTCCTTGAAATTTAGTTGGGAGAATTTTGTGGTTTATCAACATGAAGACATCACCATCCAGCAGTTAACTTTCTCTCTTCTCATAACCTGTCTGCAGGATATTGGGTCAAAATTCTGAGGAGAAATTATTTGCATTATGGAATAAGATTTAGAGCTTAAGAGCAGTATCATCTGACTTGAAACAGGTACAAGTACACCTACATGGAAGAGATGCTCACTAATGTTGCTGGTGCACGGCAGATATTTGAACGATGGATGGAATGGGAGCCGGATGAACAAGCTTGGCATTCCTACATTAACATGGAGCTCAGATATAAGGAAGTAGATCGTGCAAGGAGTATATATGAAAGATTTGTAATGGTGCATCCAGAGGTGAAAAATTGGGTGAAGTTTGCTAAATTTGAGGAGCGACAGTCCAATACAGGTAAATTTTGATTTGAATGATTTGTGAATCATTTTATTGTTATAAATTGTTTTAATCCTTTAACTTCCATGGGTGACCAAGAAGGAATTTCTCCCTACAATATCAATACAGAATAAATCAGACCAGTAATGAGAATAAAGAAAAAGACCAATTACTTGGAAACTATTATTTGGTCTGATACCAAATTTTCTATACTAATATCATAAGAATTGTATGGCAGACAGGAAAGATAATTAATCACAATCTCTTGTGAGTTTATCTCTTTACATTGACTGACCAAAAGGCTTCCATTCGGTAGCTTTTAGTAAGAATGAATGATGGACACAATTGTAATATTTGGAGTCTTATCCACTGATTTGAATATACATGACTGTACTTCTTGATAATAAGAAAACTTTTATTTTTTCAGTTGGTGCAAGAGATGTTTATGAAAGAGCAGTGGAGTTTTTTGGGGAAGAAAATGCAGATGAGAAACTTTTTCTTTCATTTGCAAAATTTGAAGAAAACTGCAAAGAGGTATGGATAGAGGCTTTGAAAGAGTTATTACTTGTAGTTGGAATAAGTTGTTAAGAGAGCATTAATTGACACTTACCATATTTTATCAGTTGTTAAGTGCACATTTATTTAAGCAAAACGTGTCTTTTGGTGGCAAGTTAGTGCTAAAATTGGGGAGCCGCTTATATAGCCAAGTACTTTTGTGCAACAAAATCTGAAGATCACAATTTTAGCAGAACTTACAGTTTAAAAAAAACCAGGAAAGGACTTTAAATGTTAGTCATTAACTTTTTTTAGATTTGGTAGTTCTGAAAAGAACTGGGTGACTCTGAAAAGAGCCCTTGAATTTTTTTGAAAAGAACAGAAAATCTACAGTGATTTGAGTGAACACAATGGTGGTTGTATCATTTAGTGCATCATACTTGGGGATTCCTTGTGATTGGGTTGAATCACAGGGTAGTAGAGAGGTATATCAAATGCAAAACCTTATTTCCTCTAATTTTCTTATCTATTTATTACACACAGCATGATCGTGTCAGGGTCATTTTCCAGTATGCTCTGAAAATCTTACCAAAAGAGGAGTGCGAAGTAAGTGTGGATTATGCGTGTGCTTGTTCTCAGAGGAGCTGCTTTGCTGTTGATACCTTTTGAAAAATTAACCTTAGACCCCTAGTCTTCTTGTGCCTAGCAAATCTTTGGTCTTTCTTCTTCTAATTCTGGAGTTGCCTTGTACTTATTTGTTAAATTTTATGTTACATGTATTTCAGGAGCTATACAAAGCCTACACTCAACATGAGAAGAAATATGGAGACAGAGGAGGGATAGAAGATGTGATTGTAAGCAAGAGAAAGTTCCAGTATGAGGAGGTTTGTCAAACTCATTGATAAATGGTAACAACTGGTTTTTTATTAGATGCAGTTTACTGCAATTTAACAGAGTTAGCAACAAAGAGCATCAGCATTCCTTAGTAGTCAGCAGTTTTTACATATGTGCATGCGTTGGAATTCCATGTGCTCTTCGTTTAAAGCAATCTTTTGTGTGCTTTGAGTGTGAACTTGCGGTGTTGTTTGAAGTGGTACCTCATCATCCAGGCAGTTTTCCCTTTCTTGCCTGGGGGCTCTTAGCTGGGTTGCCAGGATTTGCCAGCCATGGGAGCAGTCTCCATATAGGAGCTGGCTGACAATAGTAGAGGCTCCTGGATGTCTCAGGCATCCGACCTCCATGTAGGGATGTAGTTGTTAATCACAGTGAAACTGTTGCACTATATGGCTGGTAGTGCCCTTGGGCAAGTGATAATAAATTGTGTGGTTTGATTGGCTCCCTGAGTGGGCAAGGCCCTTCCGGATTGCCTGCTTTGATCCCACACAAGGAAAAATACTGCATGGAGTGGACTTACAAAATGTACAAAGTTTACAGCTTTCTGACATCTCATGTCACTGAGAGTTTTGATATTTAGTCATCATTGTAAACCTCTCACATCACATCATTCTTAAATTTGTTAAATGAAAAATAGGCACACACCATCACAGTTGGCTCTCTTTCCCGTAGTATGCAAATAAACAAGTCCTTCTTGATTCTTATCAAAGCTAAATTTTTGTTGCTATATGATACTGTTGTAAATCCATCAGTGACCAAGCTTGTTCAGTCAAGATGGCTGGAAATTAGCCTTGTTCTTTTTTTGCAAAACATGAAAAAAGAACCTGGCCAATAACGTAGATATGAAACTGTTGGTAGCTTCATATATTGGCACTCAATGTAATTCTTAACATAAACACTTTTCCATGTTGCAATAGAAAAATTTACTGCTTCAGTTCTATCATCAGAAAGCTACATATTTTAAGGAATATTATGTATCATATGTATCATAATACATATTTAAGGTTATACATGTATATCTATATACATGCAGGCTCCCTGAGAATTTTATATTCTACCATGATTTGAGAGTGCATGTCTACCAGCAAATGAAATCCTAGTTCTCAGCACATGTCCACTAGACACATTGACTTATTGTCTGGAGGAGAATTTCTGCTCTAATCACTGCTACTTTAACTCCTTAAAGTCCAAGAGGGAAGGTTCATAGTTCATTCAGGTGGATAAATGTTATCACCTGTGGGGCAAAATTACTGAATACTGATTGGCTGAGTCAGAGGGCACTTTTATTTTTATTAATCACAAGTGCACTTTTGGTTATCAAAAAAAAATGAAATGATCAAAATTTTTACCTGTTTCCAATAAAATTTGTATTTACATGTCGAAGGTAATTTTTTATTGGTAAATTATTTGTCAGGGTAAGGGATTTTGAATGGTTTCCTTTTGGTTGAAAACTCTCTCATAGGGTGAAAATTAATTATGGTTACCCTTGGCTGGCTATTGTGTGAGTGACTGAAAACTAAAGATTTTAACTTGAAATCACATACTCCAGAACAAGTAATATGTATAACTTCCTAGTTACATTGCTATTGGAACATATATGCACATTAGGATCTGTTGCCATTCGAAGTGGACCTCGTGAAGAAATCAAATATTTACCTTTTTTTTCCATGGAAAATGTTTCTAAACTAAATTGCTGATAGACCTCTGTTATTCCTTTAACACTTGCATCAGTTTGCATATTCTCCATACTGTTCTCTATGCATATCCTTATGTGTTGATAAGGAGACTGTATTTAACAATCAATCGTAGCCTCAATATCTGATTCGGGGGGGGGGGGGGTTATTAGATGTGGGTCACCTAAGGGTTTGAAGGGTCATTGCAATGGTCTCAGATAAAAATATTTTTGGCGCTGACCAATTCATACAATCAGATCTGTTGAAGTGTCTATCTTGATTCCCTTATTTTCCAAACCTGGATGAAAAAGTTCCTGAATGATCAAATATTTTTGTACAGTGATTGTCTCAATGGCAAATAGGATCGACATTTTTAGAGATTCATACAGACTGAAGATTAATTTGGTTATGAGCCCTGAATAGAGTATGACTGAAAATTATAGACAGTGAGTATAAATCAAGTAATTAAACTATTTTTATTCATCCTGACTACAAAACTACCAAAAAAATGAAGTACAGTTTATTCTTAGAATTACCGCTGGTATATACAGTGCATCAATTGATTGTGATTGGTAAAATGGAATTAAGGTTGAAAACAAATGCACCTGAGTGCTAAATGGGTATATCATATAAACATGCATATAAATATTATATAAATTGCTAGAAAGTTCAACTTATTGGAGGCAAACCAGCTGGTTGTTTATAGTGCACCGTTTAGAGTTTAACTTAAAATTGCATGCAGTGAGTACAAGTCGAGTATTTAACATATTTCTTCAGTTAACATTTTATTCACCCAAACTAAAAATCTTCCCCAAAAAAATTACATTTGCTACCTAGAATTACTGGGACTGTACAGTGTATCTATTGATTATGATTGGTAAATGGAACGAAAAAGGCAGAAAATTAAGCTGATAGCTAAAAGCGTACGTTGTACAAACATAAATATTATTAAATTGTTAGAAAGTTAATCTTATTTAGTCACTAAGGCAAACTAGTTGGTTGTTGACAAAACACAGGGAAGAAGTTGTTTTTAACCCTTTAACTCCCATGAGTGACCAAGACAGAATTTCTCCTTACGATATCAATACAATATCAACCACATAAGTGATGAGAACAAAGAAAAATATCAATTTGGGGGTAATTAGTTGATCCAATACTAAATTCTCTGAACTAATATCATAAGAATTGTATGGTTTTCAGTAAGGAGAATTACAAATTTGATCTGGGATTTAAAGGGTTAAGACTTCTGGGAAACAAATCTCATGGAGTGGATGGTTAGGACCTGGGAACTCTGGACCTCAATTCCAGTGGCTTCACCCTTTAACTCCAAGAGGTGATTAACATGTAAATTCTCCTTATGATTCCAATATGTTATCTTGTAGAGAGGTTATGAGAAAAGACAAACTTATCAGCTGAGGGTATTATTCTGATGTAATGCCAAATTCTCTTGTTAATTGTATGGCAGTCAGTGGGGAGATTTACATATTGGATCTTTGAAGTTAAAGGGTGAAGCCACTTGGCGTTGCTCTTTCTGCCACGTCCAATCACATAACATTAGAGCAAGCCATAAAATATTTTTACCTAACTACTTAAAAACCCTTTATGCAAGGCACAGGAGTGTGCTGTTCCTATTGATTATGTCTCTATGGTAGTTCTTTGCCCTAATAATGGCTGTGTCTTCCCGAAATAAAAGAAAGTGAAAGGCAGACGTCACGAAGAAAAGTTAAATCTATCTTAGACTCGTTCAAGTTTCCTTTTCTGAAGATAATTTTCCTATATGTCTGACTGCTCATGGTGTATTAGTCAATTCTGTGCTTACCCCTCTACCCCTGGTTTCTGTATTCGCGGGCTAACGATGCATTTACACCGTTGAGTGTTTCTGCCACTTGCGAAATTTTTCCTTATAAAAATAATTCGATTTTAATTTTCTCTGGCATTCAGCATTTGAATGATTCGTAGAATAGTAACACATTCACTTCAGTATGTATATTTTCTTAGCTTTAAGGCTTGTGACTAGTATACGTCCATCTGGCGCTGTTACAATGTGCAGTGGACTTTGTAAAGGAACGGTAGTTTTGCCGCGAAAGCGACCGTCCAAAGAAAATCGCTGAACTCTGTTATTGTCTGAGTCACAAACAAGAAGGTTTTTGGAGCCGTCTAAACACATGCCACGGGGTGAGTTGAACTGTCCGTCTTGATTCCCTTTTTCGCCAAACTTGTACAGGAAAGTGTTTGACGCATCAAATGCTTTTATGACATGATTGTCTCTTTCAGTTACCAGGAAAATTTTTTTGTAAGGAATGCAGCTGTATGGTGTGCTGAGTTTCTCTGGACCACTGTCTCCTACTGTGAATAGAGCTTCGCCCTCTTTTGACATTACTTGAACTCTATTGTTATCGTATTCAGTGACAACAATACGTTCTGTATCGTCAACACAAACACTAAGTGGGGTTTCAAAGTCTCCTTTTCCCTCACCTTTTTTTCCAAAGGTTTTTACAACAACTTCTGTCTGGATATTTATGTGCTGTATTCTATTATTGAATTGATCTGCAATAAGAATTTCTTTGTCGTTTAAAAATGTTACATCAACTGGATTTGTGAATTGTCCAGGATGTTTTCCTTTCTCTCCAAATTGTTCCAAACATTTCCCTTCTTTATTGAATACAAAAACACAGTGTCCATCATAATCTGCAACAGCTATGTCGCCTTGCTTATTTATGGCGATTCCAATTGGTCCCTTGAACCCTTGCCCTTGGTTGAACTTCAAGTCTAATTCACCGACTACAACAAGTTGATGTTCTTCCACTGGTATAGTGAACGGAGAGGTCGGAAGATTTTCGCCATTAATCTTCACTTCAACGTCGTAGGCGCCAGGCACTTCAGGTGTAAACTTCAGCCTAAGATTGCCTTCCCCTTTTTCTTCAACGCTCACGTTTGTGACATCTTTGGTGGGTTTTATCAGCAATTCAACTTGATCGTTAAGATCGGCCTGGTTACAAATCTCTCCTTCTGCTGTTTTTGGACATAACGTAAACTCTGCTTCTACACCAGCCTGGAAAGTTTGATCCAGTCCTTCTACAGTTGATGTAGCTGCTTTTGCCGGTTTCTCGGTGAGTTGAATAAAACCCAGTTTCAAGTCTTGTTGCGATGCCGCGGTAAATTTGACAAATGTTGTTGGATGTTGCCTTGAAATCTCAACTCCACAAAGCTCTTGAAATTTCTGCTTCAAAGTTGTCTTGGTCTTTATAATATCCCAGTCTCGGCTTCTCTGCACGAGATTTTCCGCAAACTGAGCCGCTTGGTGTATTTGTTTTACCAGCGATTCCAGTTCTTGTTTAGCCGAGTTAATTTTCTCTATTCTCTTTCTACGCGTCATTTCTAAGGACTCTAAGAGCTGTTTTTCTTGCTGTCGCGTCTTTGTGATCACGTGTTCAGCTGCCTCAGACACGTCTTGTTTAGCGATTGCGATAATCGTTTCCACATCCTTAGAGGTTTTCTCAAATTTTCTTATCTCTTCTTGTAAGAAGTTTGCCTTTTCCTTGATGGTCTGGACGTTCAACATGATGAATTTCGTATCCTCCTCCGCTGCCTTTTCAATAACGTCGAACTCATGGCGTCGGTGGTTTTTGGCTAAGCAAACAGGACAAATACACGCTTCGCAGGTAGAGCAGAAATATCGCAGTCTTTCGTTCTTGTGTTGCGAGCAAAATGGCGGCTTCAGCAATGCCTCGCGATCTTCCGTTTCAAGGAGACCTAACAAACTATTATGGATGAAGCTGGTTTGCAAACGGTCAAAGTGATTGCCTTCTGGTAAATCGATTTCTGCCTGACATTCAGGGCATCTGAATTTGCCTTGTCTGTGGTTTTTTCTGGCATGTTTCTCTAAACACTTGCAGCAAAAAGTGTGTAAGCACGATATTATTTTCGGGTCTGTGTAGGTCTCGAGACAAATTGAACATGTGAGTTGTTTCTTGAGGTTTTCCACGAGAGGTTCCATCACGATGGCCTTGAAAAACAGATTGTTGAAGCGACGATTACAAACAGATAGTTGTGAAATCTAAATTTTAATTTCGGATTCAGAGAAAACAGAACAAAGTCTGTGACTGCAGAGTTTTTATGGCCAATCACATTCAAGGACGTAGTTGAATTTTTTTGCATCCTCATCTGCTATTTCCTCGTTTATGATGAATCAACTTTGTCGGTAGTGCTGAAACCTTGAAACCGTGGCACGCTCCTTTAAATGTTTTTACATGCAGGGCAAGATTACTGAATACTGATTAGCTGAGACAAAAGGCAATTTTTTTTCCTAATTACGAGGGCACTTCTGGTAATCAAGGGGGCATTATTACTTGTTTCTAGTGAGCCTTTTTGCTGTTTGTGGCGACGATTTATTGATTGCAATTAAATTGAATGAAGCAGTGTAACGTTATGAACTGTTTTTTGCCACTAATCAGAAAACGAGGTTGTCGCGTTTACGAAAAACGGTCGTTTTTTGGGTCCACCCTCACCTGGACGATCTACAAATCAGACAGTACAATCAATTCACAACGAGACGACAGATCCGTCGTTTGCTGTTGGATTGTCCGTCTTAGTCTTAAAATTTCATCGATGTCCCGTTCGTGAAAAGCAATTTTGCTGGTGGCTTTACATAAGGACAGACATTACTTAAAAATAAATTGGAACAAACAGCCATTGTTTCAGATTCCTAGAAAACAAAACAAAGTCCGTGTCAGCTGATCTATTTTTGTCCTGTCACTTTCCTTGGCTTAGTTGATCTCTTTGTAAAGTTAAGTTGTTTATCTATTGTGTCTTTGAAATAAATATGTATTAGACTAATAGCTTTATATATAGAAATCCGTTGTTTGAGTTTTATCATTGACACCGGTGTGTAACACGTGCCTATCCAAAAGTTAAAATTTTGGAGAAACCGGGAAAGCAAACACGATGCGCAGTAAATTGTCATAAATCCTCTTCTCTCCAAAACAAGCTGCAGTGAAAGAAGATAATTTAAATAACTTATTTTACAAAAAAAAAAAAAAGCGATAAATGCATTTTAAGTCCTTACTCTAAAGATCAAGATAAATGATAAGAATCGGTAAATGTCTTCGCAAGAGTGGAGACAGTACGCGGATCAGATTTAAAAGTGAATATGCAAATTTGTCAGTATCTGAAAAGGTCTCATGTTACATGAACTTTATAAATAAGACGGAAGTGGCCAAGGAACGTTTCGGGATGAAAGTTTCGTTCAAAACAGTACTTAATCTGTTCTTAATTTCCTTTTAAAAGCGAAAAAAGGTGCGAATTTCTCATGTGCACGACACCCACAAAATTCATCATGCTTAGATCGTTGTTTACTTGACTTCACGGCTCGAAAATTGCGCAGCGTTAAGTTGAAAATTGTGAAAGTTCTACCTTTTGACTCAAAATCTTCGATTACACGATACTTTTTGGACATCCCTTTACCGAAACATAATATTTACCGGGCCTTGGAATCTTCATAATGTCGTGAGGTTCGCATCGCGTCAGTGAATCGTAGTGTTGTTGACTTTTAAGACTTTGATGTCCATTCGTTACCGAGCAAAGTATTCTATAGCATTTTTTCTTTCCATTTTGTGTTCCAGAAGGTCTATCATGATCGGAAAATAACGGAAAATCCGACTTGAAAATATTGAAGACGGACGCGCGGACGCCAATTTTCCATATTTTATCATTTCTTGTGAACGCTTAAAATGACGCTTTTCTATTACACCCCAAAAGGATTAAAATATCGGTGCAAAAGATGGATACTGATTGCTTTATAGATTCTCTAACAACATAGGAAGTTTGGAGACAAAATTCTGCTTAGTAGGGGAGGTATGGGGAAAATTGTCTCTCTCACGAGTCCACCGCGCTGCATGGGCGGTTATCGGTGGTTTAGTTGTCAATGTGTTATTTAAAAGAAGGAAAGAAATCGTGGCCTGTTACTTAAACGAAAACTTCAGGGCGTTATGGCAGGGATAGATTTAGATAAGCAAAGTGTAAAAGCGCAAAACGTGCTTGAAAGATTGATCATTTAACGAAATTATCGCCCTTCGTAGTTCTTAAAATGTGTCTAAAGCTTCTTTCCCTCCCCACCCTCTTTTTTTATGAGTTTTCTGTGTATTATAAGAGTTAATCTTTAAGATTGTTCCACGTTCGTGAAGGACTAAATTTTCAAACTTTAAGCAGTCTACATACAAGCAACGCTTCTTTGAAATATGCTTTTCTTAACAAACAATTTGTTGAGAAATGTATTTAATCCTGTAAACCCGAAACATTTTTGTTGATAAAATTATTGCTTGAACAATTTTTTGTAGAAAAGGTCGTTCTCGACAGGTTATTCTCTAAAGTCTGTTTGTGTAAGATGTCTCCAATGTAAAAGAACAAAACAAAAAAACGTGAAAAAACAAATTAAAAAACCATTGACCCAAAAGTAAAAATAGCGTCTGAACCCATCTGGACTAGTGGATTACTTATAGTAATCAAATGTTTCGGCTCAGAAAATGACCAACTAAACTAAATTGCTGATAGAATTCTGTTAGTCCAATGGTCTCAAAAAGAAAAGATTCTAGGAGCCGACGTCACTTATTCCATGGCGTCTGTTTTAAGTATCCATCTAGATTCCCTTGATTTCCAAACTTGGGTCAGAAAGTTCCTACGTGATGAAATGTTTTTATGCTGTGATTTGAAAATTCAGACAGGCTGAAAATGAATTTAGCAAGAAGTGATTAACCCTCTTCCCCAAGAGTTACTAGTATCTAATATCTCTTAACAATTTCACCCCTGAATTAGACATTAAGGTAAAGAGAATAAAGGAAATGATCACCAATGAAAGAAACTCTAGATTGTTAAACAAATTCTCCATGGCAGCACCTTAGGAAATTTATAGAGAAGAGTATAGAGAAATTGCACACTGATGTTAGGTTTTTAAGGGTTAATGGAGTTTAACTTAAAATTGCATGCAATGAGTAGAAGTCAAGTATTTAACATATTGTTATTCACCTAAACTAACCATCTACCAAAGCAAAAAAATGAAATACCTTTGCTTCCAAGCTTTATTGAGACTGAATGTACAGTGTATCAATTTATTATGATTGGTAGATGGAACAAAAAGGACAACAAATGAACCTTATCGCTAGTTTGATATGTTTTATAGACATAAATATCATCAAAATTGTTGGAAAGTTCATCTTATTTAGTCCGCAAGGCAAACTAGTCGGTTGTTTACAGAACACAGGCAAGAAGTTGTTTTTTAAGACTTCTGAGAAATAAGTCTCGTGGAACGCCAGAGTGGATGCTTAGGACCTGGGTACTTTAGATCTTAATTCCAGAGCCTTTACCCTTAAAATCCAAGAGATGATTGAAATATAAATTTTCCTTATGATTCCAAAATGTTATCTTGTAGAGAGGTTACGAGAAAAGACAAGCTTATCAGCTGGTGGGTGTTATTCTAATGTAACACCAAATTCTCTTGTCGGATTTATAGAGAAATGTACGACAATCAGTGAGGAGATATACTAATTGGATCTTTTTAAGTCAAAGGGAGAAGCCATTTGGTCCTTGAAACATTTTTTCCTAACTACTTGAAACCCCTTGTAGAAGGCACAGAAATGTGAGGTTCCTATTGATCGTGTCTCTATTTCTGTTGCTTTTTTCTCTCTTCAGTGAAGTTTTCTTTAGATTACATTAGACCATGTGGTAGTTCTTTGCTCTGATAAGGGCTGTCTTTCTGAATTATCTGCTCTTCTTATTCGACCAGATGAAGTGAAAGGCAGACCTCACGAAGAAAAGTAAAATCTATATCTTAAACTAGTTCAAGTTTCCTTTTCGAAAGATATAATTTTGTTATATGTCTGACTGCTCACACACCGAATTCATAAATGGCGTCCTCTCGGAACACATGAAAACGAGGTCGAAAAAGCCTCTCATCGAAAGGGTAACTTTATATCGAGATGCTTTTCACAGTACTTCAAACTCAGAATATTGGCGTTCTTTTGTTAATTATTGTTTATGGTAGAATATCTGGGAGACTATATGAAAGTTTTGGAGGTTTGAAACCTCGTAAGAAGTCTTTTCTTGTGAACAAGAACTCAGAAAGAAAACCTGAGAAAACAGTGGGTTCACGCAATAACAAGGGATTTTGGGAAGAATTTCTCTCTATCAAATTCCACCCAGGTTTTCTCAAGGCATTTTAAGGCTGAATATTTCAAGACTACTCTAACGCACGAGGTGTCTTAAAAACCGAGAGTAGTGCCCTCAATATTTGCGTGGAAACGAAGTTCTTCACGAAAACGACCTCCGCCTACTCCTCGTTTGACAAATAGGAAATAAATTTTGATTGAGAAGCTGCAGGAAGGAAGTCTAGAAACTGTTGGAACTTCTATCGTAATTCCATTATCTTCATTTCCATCGATAACAACGACCGATTTACAACCTCCAGTGACAGAACCAGATTCTTATTTCCCCGAGCGTCAATCCGTGAAGGATACCAAAATTTATGAACTAGAAGACCAGATTGCTGCATTGTTATCCAAGAACAAGAAATTGGAGGAAGAGGTTTCGTTCTTGGAAGAAAAATGCTGTGATCTAAATGAGACATGCGTAACACTGCTTTCACTAGAAAATATCAAAACAAACACTTCACTTCTAACATTTTACACTGTTTTTCCAAACTTCTAAACGATGATGGCTTTATTTGAATTCCTGGACTCTGGTACCAATGGAGAAAATATCAATTATTGGTTATCTGGTAAAAAGACTGTCAAGTCTAATAGTAATAATGAGAAATTAGGAAAGCAGGGAAGGACAAGATGCTTACAACCATTAGATGAGTTTTTCCTCACAATTTGTAGACTCAGACAACGTTTTGCTGAACAACATCTAGCCAACTTATTTCAAATTCCTCAGTCGACTGTCAGTCGAATTTTTATCACATGGATCAACTTCATGTACTTAAAACTTGGCCAGCTAAATATTTGGCCATCCAGAAAACTTGTTGATGAGACAATGCCAAAGGATTTCAAGGCTAAGTACCCTTCAATAAGAGTGATCATTGAGTGCACAGAGATTCGCAGCGGAATTTCAAGTAGTCTTCTTTTAACTAGTGAACTGTTTAGTTCTTATAAACATCATACCTCTTTGAAGGGATTAGAAGAAATTTCACCCAAGGGGTCCTTCTCGTTTATTGGACAGTTGTACACAGCCAGCATATCAGACAGGGAAATGGTTGACTGCAGTGGTTTTCTAAACCTCCCTTTTTCTACATGGGACTCTATCATGGCTGGAAAGGGTTTCACCATTGAAGACATACTTCCCCTTGGTATCTCTCTCGATATACCCCCTTTCTTGGGAATGTCGGATCAGATGTCACCTGAGGATGTGATTAAGACACAGCATACTGCTTCACTAAGAATTCAAGTAGAAAGAGCTATTAAAAAGGTCAAGAACTTTTAATTTTTGAAGGAGTAATTCCTTCATCTTCTGTGAGAATAACAACGCTATCCGACGAACTTGCCGAAGATGACGCCACAGTGAACTGAATAAATACTTTTCGAGCCTCGTTTTCATGTATTCGAAACTAGGCCTTTCCGCGCGGCCGCCATTTATGAATTCGGTGTATGGGCCATGGGCCAATTTTGTGCTTCCCCCCCTCCCCTTAGTTTCTGTATTTTAGGGCTAAAGATGCATTTACACTGTTGAATGTTTCTGCCACTTGTGAAGAAATTTCTTCTTAAAAATGATTCGATTTTAGTTTTCGCTTACATACAGCATTTGAATGATTTGTAGAATAGAAACACATTCACTTCAGTATGTATATTTTCTTAGCTTTACGGCTTGTGACTAGTATACGCCCATCTGGCGCCGTTATAATTTGAAGTGGACCTTGTAAAGGAACGGTAGTTTTGCCTTTAAAGCGGCCGTCTAAAGAAAATTGCTGAACTCTGTCTTTGAAATAGTCACAAACAAGAAGGTTATTGGAGCCGTCTAAACACATGCCACAGGGTGTGTTGAACTGTCCGTCTTGATTGCCTTTTTCGCCAAACTTGTACAGGAAAGTGTTTGACGAATCGAATGCTTTTATGACGTGATTGTCTCTTTCAGTTACCGGGAAAATGTTTTTGTAAGGAATGCAGCTGCTTGGTGTGCTGAGATTCTCTGGACCGCTGTCTCCTATTGTGAATAGAGCTTCGCCCTCTTTTGACATTACTTGAACTCTATTGTTATAGAATTCAGTGACAACAATACGTTCTGTATCGTCAAGGCAAATACTAAGTGGAGTATTAAAGTGTCCTTTTCCCTCACCTTTTTTTCCAAAGGTTTTCAAAACAGTTCCTGTCTGGATATTTATATGTTGAATTCTATTATTTGATTTATCTGCAATAAGAATTTCGTTGTTGTTTAAAAATAACACTCCAGCTGGATATTTGAATTGTCCAGGATCTGCTCCTTCTTTTCCAATTTGTTTTAAACAGTTCCCATCTTTATTGAATACAAAAACACAGTGTCCACGATTATCTACAACAGCTATGTCACCTTGCCTGTTTACAGCGATTCCAGTGGGTCCCTTGAACACCTGCCCTTTGTTGAACTTCAAGTCCAATTCACCGACCACGACAAGTTGACGTTGTTTCACTGCCAACGTGAACGGAGAGGTGGAAAGCTTTTCGCCATTAATCTTCACCTCAACGCTGTAGGGGCCAGGCACTACAGGTGTAAATTTCAGCTTAAGATTGCCGTCTCCTTTTTCTTCAACGCTTTCGTTTGTAACATCTTTGGTGGGTTTTATCAGCAATTCAACTTGCTCTTTAAGATCGGCCTGGTTACAAATCTCTCCCTCTGCTGTTTTTAGGCATAACGTAAACTCTGCTTCTACACCAGCCTGGAAAGTTTGATCCAGTCCTTCTACAGTTGATGTAGCTGCTTTTGCCGGTTTCTCGGTGAGTTGAATGAAACCCAGTTTCAAGTCTTGTTGGGATGCCACGGTAAATTTGACAAATGTTGTTGTATGATGCCTTGAAATCTCAACTCCACGAAGCTCTTGAAATTTGTGCTTCAAAGTTGTCCTGGTCTTTATAATATCCCAGCCTGGGCTTCTCTGCACGAGATTTTCCGCAAACTCAGCCTCTTGGTGTATTTGTTTTACCAGCGATTCCAGTTCTTGTTTAGCCGAGTTAATTTGCTCTATTCTCTTTCTACGCGTCATTTCTAAGGACTCTAAGAGCTGTTTTTCTTGCTGTCGCGTTTTTGTGATCACTTGTTGAGCTGCCTCAGACACGTCTTGTTTAGCGATTGCGATAATCATTTCCACATCCTCAGAGGTTTTCTCAAGTTTTCCTATCTCTTCTCGAAACAAGTTTGCCTTTTCCTTGATGGTGTCGACGTTCGACATGATGTATTTCCTATCCTTCTGCACTGCCTTTTCAATAACTTCGAACTCATGGCCTCGGTGATCTTCGGCGAAGCAAACAGGACAAATACACGCTTCACAAGAAGAGCAGAAATATCGTAGTCTTTCGTTCTTGTGTTGCGAGCAAAATGGCGGCCTCAGCAAGGCCTCGCGATCTTCCGTTTCAAGAAGACCTACTAAACTATTTTGGTGAAAGCTGGTGGGTAAACGGTCGAAGCGATTACCTTCTGGTAGATTGATTTCCGCCTGACACTCGGGGCATCTGAATTTTCCTTGTCTGTGGGTTTTTGTCGCATGTTCCTCCAAACACTTACAGCAAAAAGTGTGGAAGCACGAAATTATTTTGGGGTCTGTGTAAGTATCGAGACAAATTGAACATGTGACTTGTTTCTTGAGGTTTTCCACGAGTGGTTCCATCACGATCGCCTTGAAGTACAGATTATTCAAGCGACGAATACAAACAGAGAATTGTGGAATCAAAGATTTAATTTTTAACTCCGAGAAAACAGCACAAAGTCCATGATAGCTAAGTTTTTGCGGCCAATCACATTCAAGGACGTGGTTGACCTTTTTTGTAACGTTATGTCAGTGTTGTTTCCTCGTGTATAATGAATAGACTTAGTCGGTCGTGCTGAAACCTTGAAATCGTGGAAGGCTCCTTTTAAATATTATCACAAAATTTCTGAAAGCTGATTTGCTGAGACTGATGACATTTTTTATTAATCACGAGGGATTTTCTGGTAATCAAGAGGGCATGATTACTTAATGCTTATTGAGCCTTTTTGATGTTTGCGGCAACGGTTTAATGATTGGAATTCAACTGAATGAAGCAGTGTAACGTTATTAACTGTATTCAGCCACATATACAGGACTATAACTTCCCAGCAGTTTTGTCACGCAGAGCGTTCAAAGACTAATTGGATAGGCTAACGCCGAAACGGTCTGTCGCGTTCACGAGCAACAGTCGTTTTTGGGTCTACCCTCACCCCGACGATCATACAAATCATACAACACAATCGATTCACAACAAGACAACAGATCTGTCCTGTGCGGTTAGAGTGTACGTCTTGGTCTTAAACTGTCATCGATGTCCCGTTCGTGTAAAACAATTTTGCCGGTGGCTTTCTCTAAGAACAGAAAATGTTTTAAAAATATTGGAACAAACAGCCTTTGTTTCCGATTCCTAGAAAACAACACAAAGTCCGTGTGAGCTGATCTATTTTTGTCTTGTCACTTTTGTTTGGCTTAGTTGACCTTTTTGTAACGTTAAACTGATTATCTCGTGCGTTTTTAAAAGTAAATATCTATCTGTCTGAAAGCTTTATTGTTAGAAAATCCGTTGTTTGAGTTTTATTGTTAATGAAATAGCAAATAATCCATGGCTTGTTACTGAAAGGAAAACTTCGGGGCCTTATGGCGAGGAGAGATTTAGATAAGCAAGGTTGAAAAGCGATAAACGTGCTTGAGAGACTCTCATCATTTAACGATATTATCGCCCTTTATTGTTCTTAAAAATGTGTTTAAAGCTTCTTTCCCTCTTCCCCTTGTTTTTTCATCAATTTTCTGTCTACTGTCAGATTCGGTCTTAAAGATTGTTCCACACTCGTGAAGGACTAAATTTTCAAATTTTGAGCAGTCTACGTACAAGCGACGCTTCTTTGAAATATACTTTTATTATCAAACAATTTGTTGAGATATGCATTTAATCCTGTGAACCCGTAACAATTTGTTGATAAAAATATTGCTTGAACAAGTTTTTGTAGAAAAGGTCGTTGTCGAAAGGTTGTTCTCTAAAAACTATTTGTGTGAGAAATTTGCTTTAAAATATGAATGATTCGACTTTAGTTTCTGCTGGCATACATGCAGCATTTGAATGATTCGTAGAATAGTAACACATTCACTTCAGTATATATATTTTCTTAGCTACAAGGCTTGTGACTAGTATACGCCCATCTGGCGCTGTTATAATTTGAAATGGACTTTGTAAAGGAACGGTAGTTTTGCCCGTAAAGCGACCGTCCAAAGAAAATTGCTGAACTCTGTTATTGAAATAGTCACAAACAAGAAGGTTATAAGAGCTGTCTAAACACATGCCACGGGGTGAGTTGAACTGTCCATCTTGATTCCCTTTTTCGCCAAACTTGTACAGGAAAGTGTTTGACGCATCAAATGCTTTTATGACGTGATTGTCTCTTTCAGTTACCAGGAAAATGTTTTTGTAAGGGACGCAGCTGTATGGTGTGCTGAGTTTCTCTGGACCACTGTCTCCTATTGTGAATAGAGCTTCGCCCTCTTTTGACATTACTTGAACTCTATTGTTAGAGAATTCACTGACAACAATACGTTCTGTATCGTCAAAGCAAATACGAAGTGGATTCTTGAAGTGTCCTTTTCCCTCACCTTTTTTTCCAAAGGTTTTTACAACAGATCCTGTCTGGATATTTATATGTTGGATTCTATTATTTGCTTGATCTGCAATTAGTAATTCGTTGTTGTTTAAAAATAACACATCATATGGATATTTAAATTGTCCAGGATGTGTTCCTTCTTTTCCAATTTGTTTTGAACAGTTCCCTTCTTTATTGAATACAAAAACACAGTGTCCAAGATTATCTACAACAGCTATGTCGCCTTGCGTGTTTACAGCGATTCCAGTTTGTCGCTTGAACTCCTGCCCTTGGTTGAACTTCAAGTCCAACTCACCAACTACGACAAGTTGACGTTCTTTCACTGCCAAAGGGAACGGAGAGGTAGAAAGCTTTTCGCCATTAATCTTCACCTCAACGCTGTAGGCGCCAGGCACTTTAGGTGTAAACTTCACCGTAAGATTGCCGTCTCCTTTTTCGTGAACAGTTACGTTTGTGGCATCTTTGATGGGTTTTATCAGCAATTCAACTTGATCGTTAAGATCGGCCAGGTTGTTAATCTCTCCTTCTGTTGTGTGTGGACACAAGGTAAACTCTGCTTCTACACCAGCTTGGAAAGTTTGGTCCAGTCCTTCTACAGTTGATTTAGCTGCGAGTTGAATAAAACCCAGTTTCAAGTCTTGTTGGGATGCCGCGTTAAATTTGGCAAATGTAGTCTGGTGATGTTTTGGAACTTCAACCCCACGAAGCTCTTGAAATCTCTGCCTCAAAGCTTCTTTGTTCTGCATTATATCCGAGCTTGAGCTTCTCTGCACCAGATTCTCCGCAAACTCAGCTGCTTGGCTTATTTGTTTTACTAGGGATTTTACTTCCTGTTTAGCCGCGTTAATCTTCTCAAGTCTCGACATGCGTGTTGTTTCCAGGGATACAATCGCTTCTCGCTCGCGCTGTCGAATGTTTGCTATCATTTGTTCGGCTGTTCGCGAGACTTCTCGCTTGGCTGTTGCGAAATTTCTATCAAGCTCAGAAATCGTTTCTTCGAACTCCTTGATGACTTGACAAAGTTGGGTTTCTTTTTCCTTGATGATCTTAACGCCAGACATGATGTTTTCTTTTTCGTCGTGTGCTGCTTTGTCGAACAAAACGGCGATGTGGTTTTGATGATCCGTGACAATGCAGATTGGACAAATGCAAACTTGACACTGCGAGCAAAAGAACCGTGTGACTTCTTTCTCGTGGAACTGTTGTGAGCAAAATGGCTGTCGCTTCAGTAGTGCTTCGTAATCCTCTTCTTTAAAGTCTTCAACTGGCGTGACTTTGTGTCCCTCAAACGTTGCAATCAGCAGTTGATGCGCATTGAAACAATCCAGGCACATGAATCGTCCGCAATCAAAGCAATAGTACATCTGAGAGTTGGTTTTTCTGCAATGGGAACAAGCAATGCTACTTGCATTACCACTTTGTCGAACGGCGAGGAGACTCGACAAACTTTTGTGGAAAAAACTGATGGGCAAATGGTCGAAGCGGTTTCCTTCTGGTAAATCGATTTCCGCGTGACACTCCGGGCATCGGAATTTTCCTTGCCTCTGGCTCATTATCGCATGCTTCTCTAAACACTTGCAACAAAACGTGTGAAGACATGAAATAGTTTTAGGTTCGGTGTAAGTATCAAGACAGATTGAGCAAGTAACTTGCTTCTTGAGATCTTTCAAAAGAGACTCCATCTTCAAAGCGAATCAAAGTAGACTGTCAGGAGACTCTTAATACAATGGCTTGAAAGCAGATATCATTTTTAGGTTTCCATGAAAACAGAACAAAGTCCGTATCGACTGATTGCCACTGACCAATCAAACTCTTTGTTTTGGCTGACCTTTTTAAACCCTAAAGTGATATTCTTCTGAAAGTCACGGTTTGGCAATTTGTGAAAAATTTCCTCCTAATTTTTGAGGATCTTCATTTGGACTCTGCCTTATACTTGCTCATTCTTTGGTTTCGACTTTTTATGTTTTCCTATCTTACCTCATTTTTTTCCCTTAGAATGCTTCCAGGTGAAGTTAATTTGTCACTTCACAGGAAAGGACTTAGTAAAATTAAACTTAGTAAAATTAAAAAATATCATAAAAATGTTTTTTAACATGGATGATTGTTTCTATAGTTTTGGGGGCTGATGGAAAAAAACAAAAAGAAAAGAAAAAAAGAAGCAGTGTGTGATGTTTGTTGCAAATTCCGTGCGAGAAGAAACAAGGTCACGCATTGTTTAACTTCAGGCGTTCAGCCGAAATTATTCAAGTGCCTTTGTAGCAATTCGTTTTGACTTCGTCCTTTTAGAGGTTCTCTTTGGCAAGTCACCTCGTCAAGTTATCTATTCAAGCAAGAAGCTAATCTTTCCTTAGCTGTCTTGCCTTTTTTCGATATAGCAATTGTTAGGCGAGAAAACGCGAAGCGAGCGCGCTCGAGCGATCTCGTGCGAAAGAAAAGGAATACAAATCACTACCCACAGTCCCTTGCATGTGCGACCGTTAAATTTTCCGTTGAGGCTCCTATGTCTTTCGTGCTCTGGGCGGGGATTTAAATCTGTGAAGGGACAAGGGAAAAAATTTCAGATATTTCAGTTAGTTGAGCCGGGCGATTTGTCAAGGAAAAACGTATCACAATTTTTCCTCCACACTGCCAGAGAAAAGTGTTAAAGGGAAAGCCTGTAGCATGCAGCTTCATTTTACGTCGTGTCAAACCTAGCATATACAACTAGTACATTTAACCTTCTATTTTTCGTTTTATTCACCAGGAGGTGAAAACAAATCCGAATAATTACGACGCGTGGTTTGATTACCTTCGTCTGATGGAAAGTGAGGCAGATCCCGATGCAGTGAGAGAAGTTTACGAAAGAGCCATCGCCAATATTCCACCCGCCGAGGAAAAGCGTTTATGGAGACGATACATTTACCTGTGGATCAACTATGCGCTGTACGAAGAACTTCTGGCCAAGGTTTGTTCTATTTTTGCAGCTGTTGGCCTACGCAGATGTAGATCAAGTCTGCAGAAGAAACTGACTCGTATAAGTTCTTCATCTTAATCCGGGTTTTGTTACCTAAGGTGGATTAGAGCGGTTTTGTCAATATCCTTCCATGGAAAGCTAGTCCATCTTAGTTCACCCTACTCCCCAGGTTTGTTTTTACCCCTCTCCCCTCCCTGAGCATTTCCTTAGGTTTTCATGGCAGTTCACTAGTACTCACTCGGACTTGTACCCCTGGGTGAAAAGAAGCACTACAAAATTAAAGTTTAATGCTTATGAACGGAACACAATGAAGGGTCGAACACAGACCTCTAGTTCCAGAGTTTAGCAAGTGAACTATTAGAAATTTGTGCCAACGCTTCTCCAAAGTGCAGAGGTAAATTTTATTCCACATTGAAAACTTAAAGTTTTCTTGTATCCGTCTGATTCTTGTTGTTACAGGACATGGACCGCACAAGACAGGTGTATCGTGCATGTTTGGATCTTATACCACACAAGAAGGTAAACAACTGTTGAGAACTACCTTATTTGCGGTGCGTAGCGGTTGTTATATCCTGTACTATACTACTGCTTGAACATTACAACGTTCCCTACTCTGTCTGATTATTTCTGAAACCCTAATTCTCCCAACTAATAACCAATCATTTCTTTGTTGGGTATCCATAGGAATTTATTGTTGTATCAGGACAATGTTCCCAAGTCTATAATCCCTTTACGTCTTCATACGGCTTGACAGAGTAAAACTTAAACTAGGATTTTTTCATGTTGTTGGAAACTTTGCTTTTCCATTTAAGTATTATTTTGTTGTCTTTAATTTGTGCTCAAAAGGATAAGCAAGGTTTTGGATATATTTCAGTTTCTTTTTAACGAGATTAAGCAGTGAATGTCTGTTTTTTATTTTTTCATTTCCAGTTCACTTTCGGTAAAGTCTGGCTGTTGTATGCACAGTTTGAAATCCGCCAGAAGGATCTCAAGGCAGCACGGCAGGCGTTGGTGAGTGTCATGGGAGATTTCATCATCTGGATGAATGGCGGGCGGGCGTAGTCTTGCTCAAAAGTGGGTGAGGAGGGAACCGTTTGCAGATCAGATTGTGTTTATTCTCGTTCCGTCCCGGGTCATTGTGGCGTGTTCTTTTGCAAGACAGTTACTTTCACAGTGCCTCTCTGAACCAAGAGGTATGATTGGGTATCGGCGAACTGTTTGGGAAAACGTTACGAGGGTACTTGGTGCAAAGTTGACTACAGTGGACAATACTTGAGATGGCTTGATGCCAACGAAAACGAGCTTGGCTGGTAGAAATGCAAAGATTTGTTGTGAACAAAAAATCATGATCCGCCTAATCCATTAGCGCGCTAGAGTTCCACGACTCTTCCCACGAAATTAATGGTTTACATCGGCGAAGATAATCGCGGATTTCTTAGAATGAAGTTACTATGAGTAGTGATACTCTTCCTGGATATGTGGTAGTTCATCGTAGGCTTCCAAACCCCTCCCCCCCTCCCTCCAGGTTTCTGTGGATCCTCGCCTGTACTTATTTAACCCCTTAACTCCTAAGATCTCATTAGTAATTCTCCTTACTGTCTGCCAATGATTCTCATTATTTTATTTTGGAGAATTTGGTATCGGATCAATTAGCAATCCCATAATTGATATTTTTCTTTATTCTCGTCACTTGTCTGCATGATATTGTAAAGAAATAGCGAGGAGAAATTCTGTCTTGGTCACTCACGGGAGTTAAAGGGTTAAGGCCTACTGAATGGAGGGAGATGGAGGGAGGTACTGTGTCTCATCAAGACATAAACAATGGGACATCGTTTTCTCCTGGCCCCATCCAACAACATAAAAAGTGGCCTGGTCTGGAACTTTCAATCCGTGTTCCAGCTTCCCGAACTACCATTCCAGTCCATTGTGTCTCACACACGCTCTGCTAATGTATTATTTGTGTTCGTCACAGGGCACAGCGATCGGGAAATGTCCCAAAGACCGACTCTTCCGAGAATACATCGGTCTCGAGTTACAGGTGAGTAGAAAGATTATGAAAAGGAACTCTAAGGAGTTGAGACCTTAATCTAAAAATCTTTATCGAAGTGATTTTCTAAGCCTTCCCCCTTCCACTCCTTAACCATTTCAATTCGTATTTTTTCTCGACTTTTTGTGTTTCTTAGAAATATTGGTTACTTTTTTAGCTGACACGAATTGCGACTCCGTGACGGTGTCTCTAGTTACCCTTTGTGATGCAAATTCTGCCTCTTTGTCCGTTTTGCTTTTAACAGCTTCGAGAATTTGATCGCTGTCGTAAGTTGTACGAGAAATTCCTGGAGTTTAATCCTGCAAATTGTACCACATGGGTCAAGGTTAGGAGAGAATGTTTTATGTTGTTAAAGTAGTTGTTTTTTATTATTGTTTCATAAGTGTGCTTTTCTGTAAACACTTGCAATTAACTATAGATGGAGTTTGACAAGAACAAAACTTGAAAACAGACGGAAGGTTATCGAATTGGGAATGAGAAACTAAGAAACGTTTGATTAAACGAACGTAATAACAAACGATCGAAGGCAGGCCTGGATCGAAGGAAAATAAGGGCATGAATGCTAACAAACAGGGACCTTAAGCATGACCTTAGGAAGGCTAATAAATGATCACAGTTTTGAATTTGGCTGAGCTATTGTTCTGCTCATTAGATCTTTTGTTTTTCCACATCCTCGTTGCTGTCGAGGCTGGGGTTAGCTTAACGTCCTCAATGATCAAGCTATGGAACGAAATTAAATTGACGACATCTTTATTAACCCTTAAACTCCCAAGATAAGATTGTCAATTCTCTCCTTTAGCTGCAACACATTTCCTCGTAAATTAGTTGGGAGAATTGGGTGTTAGATCAAGATATAGACTTCTACCTGATAAGTTTGAGTTTGCTAGATAATGTATTCATATTATAGGGAGAAGTTACACGTTGAACACCCAATGAAAGTGAAAGGGTTAACTTGCAAATAGAGCACTTTTCGATCGAGGCAGTGAGAGATCGACGATAGTGAACCGCTGGTAGTCGGCTGTTATTGAAACATTTGCTCTGTTTTCTCCTTTTTTCTATTTTTAGTACGCCGAACTGGAAACCATTCTTGGTGATACTGACAGGGCACGTGCGCTGTTTGAATTGGCTGTTAACCAACCTTTGCTTGATATGCCCGAGGTAATGTATTGCAATGAAGGGTGTATTTAATTCAACGCACGGCATATTCCGTTTTTTCTGCTGTGGGAAAAGCTGCGCGGTGTTTCCATTCCATCTCGGAAGAGTAACAATACTTTTGGTCTTTAATTATGCTCTCGAAACTAGAACAAACCTCGACAGATATGCAAATTTGTGGAACCTGTATTAAGCGGCATCGTATTTAGCGGTCGGTTGTCAAAGTCCGGAATTAGTCTCCCCTTAATTACTGTAATTTTCGCCTTGGACTAAAACCCGAAGTTATGTTTTCACGAGAAGTTGGTAGTTCATCATTTTTAGTGAAAGTGCGTCACTTCCTTTCGACTATCAACATTCGTATTCTTAAAAATTTGTTTCAAGCACGAGTACGCGGTGTAAGTTCCTTCTTTTTGAAGGTTATGTAGAAATAGAGAATCACTCACGCAGAACGTAAGTGACGTTGACAGAGTACTTAAAATACTAATAGTGTTACTCATTTCTGTTCGTGAGTCTGATGGTATAAGGTACGTTTGTATCGCCATTTTTGCCCCAGTAGTTTGTATAGTGTGATCGTCCGGGTGAGTGTAGTTCTGAAAAGAACTGTTGTTGGTGACTGACGTTTCGACAACCTGTGCGGAAGTCATCTTCAGAGTCAAGTGGAGAGTAGTTGTCAGTCGATGATGTTATAAAGTCTGGTCTGTTGAACGTGATTGGTCTGTTTAGCCGAGATATGATTGGCTGGAAGACTCGTGTAGAGTTTGTTAACAGTCATTGGTCGGTTTCGATCCGTCTGTTGTTGGTCGGTCTGTTTGTCGGTTTGTTCACGTCGTTAATGAGTCGTTTGTAAGGTGCCGGTAGTTGTTGACATCGGTTGAGAGGCGTCTGTTCTAAGTTGGTAAACCAGCTTTCCAAAGTCAGTCGTTGAAAATAGTTTGTACTGTAGGTTAAGCATTTAGCAGAGTCCCAGTCGATTCTGTGATTAGTTTGTCGGTGATGTTCAGAAATGTGATTGTTCACATCGCCATTTCTAGTAGCTCGTTTGTGTTCAGTTAGTCGCGTGTTAAGGTTTCTACCAGTCTCACCAATGTAGGAGGCCTGGCAGTCGGAGCATTCGATCTTATAAATCGCTCTTGTCTTTGTTGGGTTGGTCTTTGTCTTTAACGTTGGTCAGTAAATGTCGTAAAGTAGTAATAGGCTTGTGAGCTACGCGAATGTTGTAAGGTTGTAGGATCCGCGCGATAGCCTCAGAAGTGCCTTTGATGTAGAGTATAGTAGCTGTAGTCGTGATAGATGTGGAGTCTCTGTTAGTCTCTGTAGTGTCGGTCGCCCTGTGAGTGTTTCGTCTAATGAAGTCAGTGTTGTAGTTGTTTTTGTCAAAAACACGGTCAAGGTACTTGTTTTCGTCAGATAAACTGTCCGGTGTGTTGCAAACAAGTTGCGCTCATCTTGTCAAATAAAAGTCTTGATGCAGTTTAGATCACTGATGAAGTCGGGTTGACAGGATGATTCGTCAAGCAGTTGTCGGTATGCGTCGGTTTTGGTTACATTCATTAAATCTGTAAACCAGAGTAGCATCAAACTATGTCTGATTGTCCACCAGGTTGCCGTGTGAACTTTAATATAAGTCCTCTTCTTTTACTCAGCTTTCACGAAATTTCCCCTCGTTTCCCCCTCTTTGAATTGTTCAAATTATTTTATTAAAACATCTAGCAGCAAGCGAATAACTGTAGTTTTTTTTGTTCTTAGGTTTTATGGAAAGCTTACATAGATTTTGAGATAAACTTGGAAGAGTACGACAAAACACGAGATCTGTATGAGAGGCTACTAAAACGAACGCAACACGTCAAGGTAGTATTTTTTAATTATTTTTCCCTAAATTCGATCTCTGCTATTTTGTTGAATCTCTTGTGCAAGAGTAAATATTTCCATTATTTCTTTCTATTCGAGTATGATCGTTTTTAGTGCCTCGCAAAAGTGTAGTGTGTCGTTAATTTCATCATTAACCGCGAACATGTCGAAGCAAATTTGCAGCCATGTTTCCCTGTATTCGCTTTCCTTGTGCAAGGCTCTAGTTTCCGTCTGTGATTCTCCTGAAATGTTCTCTTTATAGGTTTGGATTAGTTTTGCACAGTTCGAGGCCTCTACAGCAACCGATGAAAGCATCATACAAGCAAGGTGTGTAAAAAGGCTATCCTACATTCTCGATCGAGACCGTGACCATGGTAGTTCATAAGTGGAAAGCCAACGGTCACGCAACGCCCGCGTTCATAAGAGGAAAGCCTATAGTCACGCAACGCCCGATGAACCTTTGCGGAGAGCCCCAGAGCGGACAACTCAATGGAAGATTTATTTGTTCTGTAGGAGAGGATTCATGATGGAATATTTAATTTGAAATAGTTTCTACTGCTTCAAATGCTACCAAAAAATCTGTGAAATTGAATCCTCACCGTTCTCTATTTTGTTTGTACTATAAATATTAATTTTCAGGACTGTTTACGAACGCGCCAGCAAATCTCTCAGAAACGCAGAGGAGAAAGAAGAACGAGTGATGGTACTGGAAGCGTGGAAAGAGTTCGAGGTATTATTAAAATTGGTTGTACGAATAAAGAAACTTTTTTGAAAGGTCGAATCCGATTTAATTTTATTATTTTGATCCTCTAGGACGAATATGGAGACGAAAGCTCACAAGAAAAAATCAAGAAAAAGATGCCTCGTCGAGTAAAGAAGAGGAGAAAAGTACAAACGGACGACGGAGTAAGAAATCTCTCCAAACGTATTCAAATAACTTCGATCGTCTGTCGTCACGCAATCCGTTGCCTAAGCCAAAATGTCGCGTGACATATCGATTCTGTATTCAGTTTGCTTACGATTTTTGTTCCTAATGCAGCTGTTATCAGATATAATTCGTAGCCGCGTGTATAATACTTTAGCCTCACTGCAATTTTCTTTTCTCTTTGTTAGATTTTACATTTTTCTATGGAGATTTGAAACACTATTAAAATATTTTTCCTTGCAGTCAGACGCTGGATGGGAAGAATACTATGATTACATCTTTCCTGACGATGAAGCCAACATGCCTAACTTTAAACTGCTCCAGATGGCCAGGCTTTGGAAAAAGAACCAACAACAAATGGAATAATTATTTGTTGTTGTTGTTGTGGCTACTGGTTTTTTTGCTGTCGTATAAATATCACTAATTGTGTGCAGAATGTTTACCAAACAATAGAATAAAACTTCAATCTGTTCACTGTAAAGTGTTGAAGTCAGTCCTAAAGAAGTGGTTTTGTAGTTTGACAAGGGGTGGGGGTGGGGTAGAAGTATTAGAGGGGGAGGTGTAAGGGGCACAAATGTGGCTTCATGAGTTCGTGACGTCCAAACTAAATTGCTGACAGATCTCTGTTATCCCTTTAATGCTAACATCAGTATGCATATTCTCCATACTGTTCTCTATGCATTTCCTAAGGTATTGACAAGGAGACTTTTTATTTAACAATCAAGAGCTTCTCTAGTTGGTGATTCCCTCCTTAATTGTTGTGACCTTAATATTTGATTCGGGGAGGAGAAGGGGGAGGGGGTAATTAGATACTGGTCACTCTTAGGGTTTGAAGGGTCTTTGCAATGGTCTCAGACAAAAATATTTTTGGAGCTGACCAAATTCATGCAATTGGATCTGTTGAAGTGTCTGTCTTGATTCCCTTGTTTTCCAAACTTAGATGAAAAAGTTCCTGAATGATCAAATATTTTTATACAGTGATTGTGTCAATGGAAAATATGAGCAAAGTTTTTGAAGATTCATATTGGCTGAAGATTAATTTGGTTATGAGCCCTGAATAGAGTGTGACTGAAAATTGCATACAATGAGTACAAGTCAAGTATTTAAAATATTTTTATTCATCCAAACTACAAAACTTCCCAAGAAATGAAGTACAGTTTACTCTTAGAATTACTACCTGTATGTACAGTGCATCAATTGGTTAGGATTGGTAAAATGGAATTAAGAAGGAAAACAAATTCACCTGAGTGCTAAATGGGTATGTCATATAAACATGTATATAAATATTTTTAAGTTGTGAGAAATTTCAACTTATCAGACGCAAACCAGCTGGTTGTTTACAAGGGACTGGGAACAAATGGATCTTGGGAGTAAAGAGAAACAAATTTCATTTGGAGACAGAGTGGATGGTTAGGACCTGGGAACTCTAGATTTAAATTCCAGTGCCTCCACTCTTTAACTCCAAGAGGTGATTAACATGTAAATTCTCCTTGCAATTGCAAAATGTTATCTTGCAAACAGGTTATGAGAACATACAAGCTTATCAGCTGGTGGGTGTTATTCTGATGTAACATCAAATTCTCTTGTCGGATTTATAGAGAAATGTATGGAAGTCAGTGGGGAGAATTACTAATTGGATCTTTGCATTCAAAGGGTGAAGTCACTTGGCCATGGTCTTTCTGCAACTTCCAATCAAATAACATTGGAGCAAGCAAATCTCCCTTCAATTCACTTTGGAGATCATTGGTGAAAAAGACACGGATAGCTAGACTACATCATTCATTTAAAAGAATATACCTAATTGAAACATTTTATAGCTAACTACCTGAAACCTCTTGTACAAGGCACAGAAAATTGAGGTCCCATTGATTATGTCTCTTTTTCGTTTGGTTTTTTTTTGCTCTATTCAGTGAAGTTTTGTCCAGATTACATTAGACCATATGATAGTTCTTTGCCCTGATGAGGGCTGTGTCTTCCTGAAATATCTGGTCTTCTTATTCGAAAGAATGAAGTAAAAGGCACACCACATGAAGAAAAGTTAAATATATCCTAGACTCGTTTAAGTTTCCTTTTCTGAATATAATTTTCCTATGTATCTGACTGCTGTTGGGGTGTTAGTCAATTTTGCGCTAACCCCCTTCCCCCTGGCTTCTGTATTTGAGGGCTAACGATGCATTGACACCGTTGAGTGTTTCTGCTGCTTGTGAAGAAATTTTGCTCAAAAAAATTGAATGATTCGACTTAAGTTTTCGCTGGCATACAGCATTTGAATGATTCATAGAATTGTAACACATTTACCTCAGAATGTATATTTTCTTAGCTACAAGGCTTGTGACTAGTATACGCCCATCTGGCGCTGTTACAACTCGAAGTGGACCTTGTAAAGGAACGGTAGTTTTGCCTGTAAAGCGACCGTCCAAAGAAAACTGCTGAACTCTGTTATTGAAATAGTCACAAACAAGAAGGTTATTAGGGCCGTCTAAACACATGCCACAGGGTGAGTTGAACTGTCCGTCTTGATTCCCTTTTTCGCCAAACTTGTACAGGAAAGTGTTTGACGCATCAAATGCTTTTATGACGTGATTGTCTCTTTCAGTTACCAGGAAAATGTTTTTGTAAGGGACGCAGCTGTATGGTCTGCTGAGTTTCTCTGGACCACTGTCTCCTATTGTGAATAGAGCTTCGCCCTCTTTTGACATTACTTGAACTCTATTGTTAGAGAATTCACTGACAACAATACGTTCTGTATCGGCAAGGCAAATACTAAGTGGATTATGAAAGTGTCCTTTTCTGTCACCTTTTTTTCCAAAGGATTTTACAACAGATCCTGTCTGGATATTTATATGTTGAATTCTGTTATTTGATTGATCTGCAATAAGAATTTCGTTGTTGTTTAAAAATGACACTCCAGCTGGATAGTTGAATTGTCCAGGATCTGCTCCTTCTTTTCCAATTTGTTTTAAACAGTTCCCATCTTTATTGAATACAAAAACACAGTCTCTTAGATTATCTACAACAACTATATCGCCTTGCCTGTTTACAGCGATTCCAGTGGGTCCCTTGAACCCCTGCCCTTTGTTGAACTTCAAGTCCAATTCACCGACCACGACAAGTTGACGTTGTTTCACTGCCAACGTGAACGGAGAGGTGGAAAGCTTTTCGCCATTAATCTTCACCTCAACGCTGTAGGGGCCAGGCACTATAGGTGTAAATTTCAGCTTAAGATTGCCGTCTCCTCTTTCTTCAACACATACGTTTGTAACATCTTTGGTGGGTTTTATCCACAATTCAACTTGCTCTTTAAGATCGGCCTGGTTACAAATCTCTCCTTCTGCTGTTTTTGGACATAACGTAAACTCTGCTTCTACACCAGCCTGGAAAGTTTGATCCAGTCCTTCTACAGTTGATGTAGCTGCTTTTGCCGGTTTCTCGGTGAGTTGAATAAAACCCAGTTTCAAGTCTTGTTGAGATGCCGCGGTAAATTTGACAAATGTTGTTGGATGATGCCTTGAAATCTCAACTCCACGAAGCTCTTGAAATTTGTGCTTCAAAGTTGTCCTGGTCTTTATAATATCCCAGCCTGGGCCTCTCTGCACGAGATTTTCCGCAAACTGAGCCGCTTGGTGTATTTGTTTTACCAGCGATTCCAGTTCTTGTTTAGCCGAGTTAATTTGCTCTATTCTCTTTCTACGCGTCATTTCTAAGGACTCTAAGAGCTGTTTTTCTTGCTGTCGCGTCTTTGTGATCACGTGTTGAGCTGCCTCAGACACGTCCTGTTTAGCGATTGCGATAATCATTTCCACATCCTCAGAGGTTTTCTCAAGTTTTCCTATCTCTTCTCGAAACAAGTTTGCCTTTTCCTTGATGGTGTCGACGTTCAACATGATGTATTTCTTATCCTCCTGCACTGCCTTTTCAATAACGTCGAACTCATGGCCTCGGTGATCTTCGGCGAAGCAAACAGGACAAATACACGCTTCACAGGAAGAGCAGAAATATCGTAGTCTTTCATTCTGGTGTTGCGAGCAAAATGGCGGCCTCAGCATTGCCTCGCGATCTTCCGTTTCAAGAAGACCTACCAAACTATTTTGGTGAAAGCTGGTGGGTAAACGGTCGAAGCGATTACCTTCTGGTAGATTGATTTCCGCCTGACACTCGGGGCATCTGAATTTGCCTTGTCTGTGGGTTTTTGTTGCATGTTTCTCCAAACACTTGCAACAAAAAGTGTGGAAGCACGATAATATTTTGGGGTCTGTGTAAGTATCGAGACAAATTGAACATGTGACTTGTTTCTTGAGGTTTTCCACGAGAGGTTCCATCACGATCGCCTTGAAGTACAGATTATTCAAGCGACGAATACAAACAGACAATTGTGGAATCAAAGATTTAATTTTTAACTCCGAGAAAACAGCACAAAGTCCATGACAGCTGAGTTTTTGCGGCCAATCATATTCAAGGACGTAGTTGACCTTTTTTGTAACATTATGTCAGTGTTATTTCCTCGTGTAAAATGAATAGACTTAGTCGGTCGGGCTGAAACCTTGAAACCGTGGAAGGCTCCTTTTAAATATTATCACAAAATGTCTGAAAGCTGATTTGCTGAGACTGATGACATTTTTTATTAATCACGAGGGATTTTTTGGTAATCAAGAGGGCATGATTACTTAATGCTGATTGAGCCTTTTTTATGTTTGCGGCAACGGTTTACTGATTGGAATTCAACTGAATGAAGCAGTGTAACGTTATTAACTGTATTCAGCCACATATACAGGGCTATAACTTCCCAGCAGTTTTGTCACGCAGAGCGTTCAAAGACTAATTGGATAGGCTGACGCCGAAACAGTCGTATTTGGGTCTACCCTCACCCCGACGATCATACAAATCATACAACACAATCGATTCACAACAAGACAACAGATCTGTCCTGTGCGGTTAGAGTGTACGTCTTAGTCTTAAACTGTCATCGATCTCCCGTTCGTGAAAAACAATTCTGCCGGTGGCTTTCTCTAAGAACAGAAAATGCTTTAAAAATATTGGAACAAACAGCCTTTGTTTCCGATTCCTAGAAAACAATACAAAGTCCGTGTGAGCTGATCTATTTTTGTCTTGTCACTTTTGTTTGGCTTAGTTGACCTTTTTGTAACGTTAAACTGATTATCTCGTGCGTTTTTAAGCAATGTTTAAAAAACGAGCAGGAGTGTTTTATCGGGTTTAAAACCACGAGGCGTAGCCGAGTGGTTTTTGACCCGAGAAAACACGTGCTGCGAGTTTTTTCAACGGCTTCAAAAACATTCTTGGAAAAGCGTGTGTCAAGAGAGTTCATAACAATTATGCTTTTGTGAACGTTAGAAATTAGCATACGAGAAAAACGTTAGGGATTAAATTAGGAAGAACTTAAAACCTCGTGACTTGAGAATTCGTTTTCAACAATTGTCCTCAAGGAAACTTGTATCTTCCTTCCGTAACTGTCTGTGTAGTAAAATTTAAAAACATCATAAAAATGTTTTTTAACATGGATGATTGTTTCTATATTTTTGGGAGGCTGATGGAAAAAAACAAAAAGAAAAGAAAAACAGAAGCAGTGTGTGATGTTTGTTCCTAATTCCGTGTGAGAAGAAACAAGGTCACGCATTGTTTAACTTCAGGGGATCAGCCGAAATTATTCAAGTGCCTTTGCAATTCGTTTTGACTTCGTCCTTTTAGTCGTTCTCTTTGGCAAGTCACCTCGTCAAGTTATCTATTCAAGCAGGAAGCTAATCTTTCCTTAGCTGTCTTGCCTTTTTTCGATATAGCAATAGTAGGGTGAGAAAACGCGAAGCGAACGCGCTTGAGTGACACCGTGCGAGAGAAAAGGAATACAAATCACTAGCCATAAATTTTCCGGTGAAGCTCCTATGTCTGTCGTGCTCTGGGCGGGGATTTAAATCTGTGAAGGGACAAGGGAAAAAATTCGTCTTGAACTTATTTTCGTTCAAAAGTCTCCTTTTAAATAACCGATATTTCAGTTAGTTGAGCTGGGCGATATGTCATGGAAAAACGTATCACAATTTTTCCTCCACACTGCCAGAGAAAAGTATTAAAGGGAAAGCCTGTAGCATGCAGCTTCATTTTACGTCGTGTCAAACCTAGCATATACAACTAGTACATTTAACCTTCAATTTTTCGTTTTATTCACCGGGAGGTGAAAACAAATCCGAATAATTACGACGCGTGGTTTGATTACCTTCGTCTGATGGAAAGTGAGGCAGATCCCGATACAGTGAGAGAAGTTTACGACACCCGCCGAGGAAAGGCGTTTATGGAGACGATACATTTACCTGTGGATCAACTATGCGCTGTACGAAGAACTTCTGGCCAAGGTTTGTTCTATTTTTGCAGCTGTTGGCCTACGCAGATGTAGATCAAGTCTGCAGAAGAAACTGACTCGTATAAGTGCTTCATCTTAATCCGGGTTTTGTTACCTAAGGTGGATTAGAGTTTTGTCACTAGACTTCCATGGAAAGCTAGTCCATCTTAGTTCACCCTACTCCCCAGGTTTTTTTTTACCCCCCTCCCCTCCCTGAGCATTTCCTTAGGTTTTCATGGCAGTTCACTAGTACTCACTCAGACTTGTACCCCTGGGAGAAAAGAAGCACTACAAAATTAAAGTTTAATGCTTATGAACGGAACACAATGAAGGGTCGAACACAGACCTCTAGTTCCAGAGTTTAGCAAGTGAACTATTAGAAATTTGTGCCAACGCTTCTCCAAAGTGCAGAGGTAAATTTTATTCCACATTGAAAACCTAAAGTTTTCTTGTATCCGTCTGATTCTTGTTGTTACAGGACATGGACCGCACAATACAGGTGTATCGTGCATGTTTGGATCTTATACCACACAAGAAGGTAAACAACTGTTGAGAACTACCTTATTTGCGGTGCGTAGCGGTTGTTATATCCTGTACTATACTACTGCTTGAACATTACAACGTTCCCTACTCTGTCTGATTATTTCTGAAACCCTAATTCTCCCAACTAATAACCAATCATTTCTTTGTTGGGTATCCATAGGAATTTATTGTTGTATCAGGACAATGTTCCCAAGTCTATAATCCCTTTACGTCTTCATACGGCTTGACAGAGTAAAACTTAAACTAGGACTTTTTCATGTTGTTGGAAACTTTGCTTTTCCATTTAAGTATTATTTTGTTGTCTTTAATTTGTGCTCAAAAGGATAAGCAAGGTTTTGGATATATTTCAGTTTCTTTTTAACGAGATTAAGCAGTGAATGTCTGTTTTTTATTTTTTCATTTCCAGTTCACTTTCGGTAAAGTCTGGCTGTTGTATGCACAGTTTGAAATCCGCCAGAAGGATCTCAAGGCAGCACGGCAGGCGTTGGTGAGTGTCATGGGAGATTTCATCATCTGGATGAATGGCGGGCGGGCGTAGTCTTGCTCAAAAGTGGGTGAGGAGGGAACCGTTTGCAGATCAGATTGTGTTTATTCTCGTTCCGTCCCGGGTCATTGTGGCGTGTTCTTTTGCAAGACAGTTACTTTCACAGTGCCTCTCTGAACCAAGAGGTATGATTGGGTATCGGCGAACTGTTTGGGAAAACGTTACGAGGGTACTTGGTGCAAAGTTGACTACAGTGGACAATACTTGAGATGGCTTGATGCCAACGAAAACGAGCTTGGCTGGTAGAAATGCAAAGATTTGTTGTGAACAAAAAATCATGATCCGCCTAATCCATTAGCGCGCTAGAGTTCCACGACTCTTCCCACGAAATTAATGGTTTACATCGGCGAAGATAATCGCGGATTTCTTAGAATGAAGTTACTATGAGTAGTGATACTCTTCCTGGATATGTGGTAGTTCATCGTAGGCTTCCAACCTCCCCCCTCCCCCCTCCCTCCAATTTTCTGTGGATCCTCGCCTGTACTTATTTAACCCCTTAACTCCTAAGATCTCATTAGTAATTCTCCTTACTGTCTGCCAATGATTCTCATTATGTTATTTTGGAGAATTTGGTATTTTTGATTATTCTCGTCACTTGTCTGCATCATATTGTAAAGAAATAGCGAGGAGAAATTCTGTCTTGGTCACTCACGGGAGTTAAAGGGTTAAGGCCTACTGAATGGAGGGAGATGGAGGGAGGTACTATGTCTCATCAAGACATAAACAATGGGACATCGTTTTCTCCTGGCCCCATCCAACAACATAAAAAGTGGCCTGGTCAGGAACTTTCAATCCGTGTTCCAGCTTCCCGAACTGCCAGTCCAGTCCATTGGGCCTCACACACGCTCTGCTAATGTATTATTTGTGTTCGTCACAGGGCACAGCGATCGGGAAATGTCCCAAAGACCGACTCTTCCGAGAATACATCGGTCTCGAGTTACAGGTGAGTTGAAAGATTATGAAAAGGAACTCTAAGGAGTTGAGACCTTAATCTAAAAATCTTTATCGAAGTGATTTTCTAAGCCTTCCCCTTCCACTCCTTAACCATTTCAATTCTTACTTTTTCTCGACTTTTTGTGTTTCTTAGAAATATTGGTTACTTTTTTAGCTGACACGAATGGCGACTCCGTGGCGGTGTCTCTAGTTACCCTTTGTGATGCAAATTCTGCCTCTTTGTCCGTTTTGCTTTTAACAGCTTCGAGAATTTGATCGCTGTCGTAAGTTGTACGAGAAATTCCTGGAGTTTAATCCTGCAAATTGTACCACATGGGTCAAGGTTAGGAGAGAGTGTTTTATGTTATTGTTGTTGAGAAGTAGTTGTTTTATTATTGTTTTATAAGTGTGCCGCACAATTAACTATAAATGGAGTTTGACAAGAACAAAACTTGCCGACGGAAGGTTATCGAACTGGGAATGAAGAAACTAAGAAACGTTTGAGTAAACAAACGTAAGAACAAACACGTAAAATAAGGGCATGAATATTATTAGGGACCTGCAAATTGTACCACATGGGTCAAGGTTAGGAGAGAATGTTTTATGTTGTTAAAGTAGTTGTTTTTTATTATTGTTTCATAAGTGTGCTTTTCTGTGAACACTTGCAATTAACTATAGATGGAGTTTGACAAGAACAAAACTTGAAAACAGACGGAAGGTTATCGAATTAGGAATGAGAAACTAAGAAACGTTTGATTAAACAAACGTAAGAACAAACGATCGAAGGCAGGCCTGGATCGAAGGAATGTCCAGTCGCGCGCCCACACGAATGAACAAAAACAAAACAAGTAAAATAAGGGCATGAATATTAACAAACAGGGATCTTGGGCGGTTAGGACGGCAACGCTGAGGGAGACGTCGATCAAGAAATGAATTTATCTTTTTAGTTAAGATTTTGCAAATGGCTGGACGTGTTTATTGTCTCTTACGGC